TAAGAAATACAGGAAATAAGGTACAGAAATCTATCCTGTCCTACAGGAAAATAGAAGGGGAAGGGGATAAGAGAAGGGGGGGAGAGATAGAAGGGAGGGCTAAGGGATGGGGCATTCAGAATGCATGCCATCTTGGGGTGGGGGAGGGGCAAGATGGGGTGAAAATTTGGAATTCAAAATATTGTGGAAGTAAATGTTGAAAACTAAAAATAAATAAATTTATATTTTAAAAGTAAATAAAATTTAATTTGGAATAATGTTTGTATCTGCCTGAGCAATTAATTAAGTACTATGAGTGATTTAACTTTATTGGTAAACTAGAAACAAAGTCACCTAAAGAAATTGGAATAAACTATGTATTTGTAAGCCTTTAAAAACCCAGAGAGGTGACAGTGTCACAGTTAATTGGTTTTGTGTAATAAAAACTTGTACTAAATTGAAAATGAAACATTCCATAAAAAAAGAAGACAAATTCTATAGGTAGTTTGAGACATGATTGTGAAATAAAGACTAGAGGAATTCTGGAATCCAATGAAAGTAAAAGAAAAAAAAGTAAAAGTAAGAGTCAAAATTGTAAAATGAAAGGTTAATTTCAAGAGAGATGGTTTAAAAAACATTTGTGAAGCTTTTTAGACAAATATCTGTCAGAAATATTAAACAGTATTATAAAACTGTAACAAATGGGAACTCTAAGAAGCAAAAGTTTGCAGCACAAAATTAACTGGGTGAACTGAAGTCTTTGTGGGGTAAATAATTAAAAAGAATAGATGTCCCAGGGAAAAGATAAGACATATACTTTATCTCCCCTCTTAAAGTGTCAGAATAGACCAGATTAAGAAAACAAAAGGAAATGATTTGGTTCATCGGACGATTTTGAGCTAAAAAAATTGGCCCTCAAATTTGAAATGTTAACCATAAGAGGTCCTTGGAAAAACTGAAGTTCTAAATATTATTGTTCAAGATTGTAAACCCTAGACTTGATTTAAATGGTTTCATTTACAGTGAGATGTGTTCTCATATTAGTGAAATTATAATAAATCAGAATGTAATACAAATCACACTTGCTAATCTGTAAAGGAAATAATAATAGCACCCCCACTCTCCTCAATTCCATTCTCCTCAATTCCCCTCTCCTCCTCATCCCTCACGTTGTTGAGAGGACCATACAATTATTAAATTCTTAGTACAGTGCCTGGCTTGTGCAGAGGATGAACAATACAATATCCACATCTTAGAGGAATTAAATTGGACAAAATGTTTCTTTGGTATTGCTCTCCCACTTAAAGAGTGCATTTGGGGCAGCTAGGTGGTGCAGTGGATAGAGCACCAGCCCTGGATTCAGGAGCACCTGAGTTCAAAACCGGCCCCAGACACATGACCCGTACTAGCTGTGTGACCCTGGGCAAGTCACTTAACCCCATTGTCTAGCCAAAAAAAAAGAAAGAAAGAAAGAAAGAAAAAAAGGGAAAAAAGTGCTTTCTAAATTGGCATTGACTCCATTAACATTTAAGATTGGTATCCTCATAAAGGGAAAAACTTCAAACTTACTACTTAACTGCCCTATCATGTAAATTAGCAAATTGTTGTGCTGATTCATTTAAGAAATTCAGAATAACAACTGAGAAATCAAAATGTAAACATGTTAAAGTACTACAGAAGGCAGAGCTCTGAAACTCTTTAAATTAAGCTTTAAAAACCAGGAAAAGCCTGGCAAGTAGTAAGTACTATATAAATGTTAATGTAAGTGCTCTATATTGGTCTTAAATTCAAACAATATAGGATGCCAAAAGTAATAAATGATTTGCTATGTAAGATAACTTGGAAATGCATTTGATTGAATTAATGTCACCTAACGGATAATAAGTTTTCAGATTTTAAATACATGACATTGTGTATGTAAATTTTTTCTTCTATTGCAAAAATGCTGCTAGAAAAATAATTTCCCTTTTTAATGCAGATGCTGTTAGATTATATATTTGGCTGGTAAATGAATATGGTAGAAATTTCTGAAAACTGTTAAATATTTAATGGAGTATATTTTGTGCTAAATAAGTTGTCCTTGTCTATAAGATTCCTTGGAACTTTTCACTAGGGCAGGATTGTAAGATCTTATCAGTCTGAGCTGTCAACATGTTGTGAAATTTTATAGTGCTGCACCTTGAGAAAGTAGGAACTCTCCCACCCAGAGTGGTATAATTTAGAAGTGTACTTAAACTAAGGAGTAAATGAGTGATCTAAGATCATTCTGTAGCTGGGTTGAAGACCTGTCTTCTGGGATCATTCACCTTTGCATCTCCCACCAGATTTAGCAGTGTATTTGGCATATACAAGATCTCCATGGCCAATAAGAGAGAAGTTGAATCAAGTCAACAAGCATTTATTAAGTTCCTACTGTGTGCTGGGGATCCAAGAAAAGGGAGTGGAGGAGAGAGTCTCTGCTCTCAAGGAGCCTCCAGTCTAATGGGAGAGACAACATGCAAATTACTAGGTATCAGTAAAATATGTAAATAGGATAAATTGGAGATAATCTCTGAGGAAAGCTGCTAAATTAAGGAAGCCTGGGGAAAACTTCTTACAGAAACTGAGACTTATGGGATGCCTGGGCTACAGTGGTGGCAGTGTTAGAGGGGAGAAGAAGAATAGCTAGCACTTATACACCATTTTAAGATTTGCAAAGCTTAAAAAGAGAAGCAGGGAATAATAGTGGGCTTCTTGTCAGGAAGACCTGGGTTCAAATCCTGCCTCAGACATTAACTGTATCAAGTAGCTTGGCAAGTCACAACCTCTGTTTCCCTCAGTTTCCTCATATTTAAAATAACAGGACTGGAATGTATGGTCTCTAAGGTCCCTTCTGGCTCTAAATCTAAACTGATATGATTTAATCAGTGGAAATGGCATTAAAGAAGAGATATTACCATCTGATTTGCTGCTAGACTTTGTCCTTACAGTGGAAAGACACCTTCCCATTTGACTTGAAGCTGAAACCTTCTATGTGTTGCCTCCCTCACTAGGATATAAGCTCCTTGAGGGCAAGGACTGTCTTCCTTTTATACTTGTATCCTCAGCATTTAACACAGAGTTTTACATGTAGCAAGTGATTAATAAATTCGTTCATTCATCTTATGGCATTTTACATGTTAACCTCATTTGACTCTAACAATAACCCTGGGAGGTAGATTATTTTATAAAGAAACTGAGGCAGAGAGAAATTAAATCACTTTTTCACTAAACATAATGCTTTGTGATTTGCATACAACAGGTGTATAATAAATATTGGTTGAATGAGTTTTTTAATCTGAAGCTTGCAATGGATACTTAGTGTCAGAGATGGCATTCTGTACTTGTCTTCCTGACTTTAAATCCATTATTCTATCCACTACACCATCTAGCAGCCCATCTATGAATGAGAGTGGTTGCCTGGCACTCAGAGATATTAGGTGACTTGCCCATGGTCACACAGTAAGTATCAAAGGTAGGATCTGAACCCAGGTTTTCTTGGCTCCATGTTCCACACTCTATTCACCAAACAACGATGTTCCTTGGTCTTCATACAACAGGTATTTAATAAATTTTCTCATCTGAAGCTTACTAGATCTTGGCCCAAACAAAGCCACCCAACTTCAGTTCTCCTACCCATAAACAAGGTTAAGAATATTTGCATTGCCTCCTCCCTTTGGGGTTGCTATGAGCAAAAGATTTTGTAAGACCTAAAGTGTTATACACATGTGAGCTATTATCATCACTAATCAAACTAGAGGGAAAGTAGAGAGCCTGGTCAGAAAGAAACCTGGGAAGTGCAACATGGAGCTGGGGAAGGGGGTGGGTGATCAGACTAGCCAGGTTCTAGGCTTAACACTTCCTGAAGAGGGTAGCAGAGGCAACAATCAGATAAATCCCAGCCACTGAGGGAGGATGGGAGCTTTCTAAGATGTCCCTCGCTCTGCTTCTTCCCCGACCACCACAGGCTTCTTCTTGACGAGGAGTGAAAAGAATTAGGGAAGGGCTGATGGTTACAAAATGAATGAAGACAGCTTTTATTGTAACGGTCTCGGTGAGTTTGAAATGTTAGTGTGCTTAGATGCTCAGGGAAACATAGAACTTTAGAAGCATGACTCAGAAAGAGATATGAGAGTCCACCCCCATCCCACTCCTTTGTGGAGGTAGAAAGTCCACAGGTGTTACATAGCACGTTTTCAGACTTTTTCAATGTATCTACTGTGCTGATTTTTCTGTCTTCTTTTTTTTTTCCTTTTAAAAATACTATTTGTTATATGGGATGGCTCTCTGGGAGGGGGAAGGATAATGGAAAAATTATAATGATGTAAAAAACAAAAGACATCAGCCAATAAAAACTTATTTTAAAAAAATAGGACTTGACAGTAACAGCAACATTGTGCAATGACTGACTTTGTTAGACTTAGCCCTTCTGAGGAATGCAGTGATCTAGGACAGTCCAGGAGACTCTTGATGGAAAATGCTATCCACATCCAGAGAAAGAACTATGGAGTCTGAATGCAGATCAAAGCATACTATTTTCTCTTTTTGCTTTTTTTTCTTTCTCCTACTTTTTCCCTTTTGTTCTGATTTTTCTTTCTCAACATAACTAATGTGCAAATACATTTAATATGATCATACATGTGTGGCCTATATCAGATTGTATGCCATCTTGGGGTGCGGAGGGCAGGAAAGGGCAGGGAGAATTTGGAACTCAAAATCTTGTGAAAGTGAATGTTGCAAACTAAAAATTAATTAATTAATTAATTTTTGAAAATAGGACTTGAGATCTGGGCCTGATTTATTTTCTGATCTGTCCAATGCCCAAATCAGTGCCCAGAAATCCAAGAGATGACACCCCCATTGGAATCCAAGCTCCTTACGGACAGGGACTGCCATATCCCCAGCACTTAGCATATAGCTGGCACTTAATAAATGCTAACTGAATGACCAAAAGGTAGAGAACCATAACCCCAGCATCCATTACTAAAGAAAGAGAAAACAAATGGACAAGCACTCATTGCCTTTATTGCCTTCAAAGTGGAGCACGCAAGCCCCTGTCACCATGTAAGGTGTACCCATCCCAGCATGGACCAGAACAAGAGATACTCAGGACGGAGTTGCTGTACTCCAGCTGAGCTCCTCAGCCTAGGGCTACAGTTTCTTTTTGGAGCCCATAAAGAGAAATCCAGAATCAAAGAAATGGATCAGGGGGCTACTACCTGTCCCCCAGGATCCCAGGTCTCAGTCTGAGAGCCTAGATATAGAGATCTAGAACCCCAGAGCTGGACTGGTTCCTTCCTCCCCCCCTGCTTACCCACCTCACCCAACACACATTCTACCCTGAGCAGAAAATTATTTAAACCCAACCCTCAGGCACTGACTATGCAGTCACATCTAAGAATCACAGGGGCTCCAAACTCTCTGCCTCAAAGTGGGCCCCCAGGCCTCTTCCACTAAGCACCAGCCCATGTGCCATAGCTGCTGATGCCCACTCTCAATCCCACTGGGTGGGGCCCCATGGCATTAGTAGCCCAGATCAAACCTGAGAAAGGAAAGGGAACAAGATGTGAGATGCAAGCAGAGGCGGCAATTTCCCTTGTTCCAGGGCAGAGTCTGGACTCCACATCTCAGCAAAGAACAGCCAGTGCTGACACAGCCCAGGGAAGAGGAAGCAAAAGCCCTTAGGGAGAAAAGGAATCAGCAATAAAGAGGGAAATGGGGAAAGCGAAAGTGAATGCCCTTCACTGTTATTACTCACAAGACAAACAGATGGGATGCTAAGGGAGAAACTGGGTAGGGTCATGCTTCTTCTCCACTGAGCACTGAGGCAGGTTAGTTGAAAGTGGAGCTAGGCCACAGGAGGCAAAGTGTCTAGGAGTTGAACAGACCCTGGGGTTGGTGGTTGCCAGCAAACAGGACCCCACAAACAGGGTCAAGTAGCTTTGGTTAATGTCAAGGATTCAGTGCCAAGCAATGTTGAAACAGGAAGGCCTCCGCCCAGAGCAGTCAGAGAAACAACACACACTTCAGAATCTGGCTATGATGAGGGCAGTGTGAGCATCTGGCCTAGGGATGCAGAGCACTCCTCGAGCCGAGGGCAACTGTAAACGTTGTGAAGGGCACCACGTAAGAGGCCCCTGACACCCAGCACTGTGGTGCTCTCAGAGCACATAAGCCCCAAGCATTGTACCATGACGAGGGTTTGACCTGTCTCCCTTTCTGTCCACCAAGCCTGGAGAGAGGCTATGGGACTCCATACTCAGGCACACACTGAGGCCTCAAATGAATGAAACAGAGATTGGCACAAACCATGCCAACTGATCCCCGCATTCTTCCTTGAGGTCCCAGGTACCCCAATGAGACCCTGGCACAGCTTCCTACACTGTGGATCTTGTTGCTCTGAGGCTGGAGGACAATGAAGAGGCCTCTTACATATGGGAGAGGGCACTCCTGCAACAAGGGGCTCCACACACCCATTCTTTCCCCTTCCGTCTTAGGATATTTACTGCCTGGTTTGAACTGTTTGCTGGTTGGTCTTTAATTTGGGTGGAGGCCCTCTAGCCTCCAGTCGTGATATCACATGCCCTGAGCCTTCGAGCCCCTTTCCTGGGCAGCAGGTTGGCTATTCAGCTGTGCATCAGCAGTCTCAGGGGACCTAGGGACGGCCTTCAAGCTTGAGGTGCTTTTCCGGGATCCCTGTGGGCTGAGATGACCTTTCTTCTGAAGCTGGGGACTCAGCTGAGTGGCTGATGGGGCTTTCCTGCCCGAGGAGGGGCTCTTGGAGCCCTTGGCCTTGGCCACGGGGTAAAGAGTCTCAAGGCTCTTGAGAGACTTCAGCCCCAGCATCTCACAGTGGGTGTTGCATTGATGTGAAACAGCAAACTGCTCAAGGAGGCCTGGAAAAACAGCTTTCCTTGAGACCTTGGTACCTGTAGCCAAACAGAGCAAATACTGGGACCCTAGAGAATTCTTGTCTGCTCTCTGTGACCTCCTCCCCCAGCCCTGGGATGACCATCAGTCCTAGGACTCAGAACTGACAACCACAGCAGATGGCCTTCACCTGTCTAACCTGGAACTAATCATCCGGTTGTCCAGGAGAAAGTGGGCTATGGGATGCCTGCCACTACTACCTCGGTGTCTCACTTCCTCATGATGCCTAGCTGTGGCTGTTAGGCAGTCTTGCCCTGTTAGAAACTGGCAGATTCCCTAAGGTCATGTCTTCTTGGGCAGCATGATCCAGAGGCTGGGGATCCCTAATCCCCAGGAAGCCATATTATAAATCTCAGGCAGGGGAACTCATTATCCATGCTGGGGAAAGAGGAAATGAAGCAGAGTAGAGGGGATTTGGGGCAAAGAGAATTCAGTGATCCCCAGGATGTTACAGCGTAGCCCAGAGGTGGGGAACCTTCGGCTTCGAGGCCCCCGTGTAGTCCTTCTAGGTCCTCAAGTGTGGCCCTTTGTTCTGTGAAGTTTGGATTCAAAGGGCCGCACTTGAGGACCTAGAGGACCACATGGGGCCTTGAGGCCAAAGGTTCCCCATTTCTGGTGTAGCCCATCCACAAGACACATTCTCTCAGGGATAAAGAGCCAGATGGACATTTAGATCTCCAACACAAGGGGAGGGGGAGGGAGGTGGTCATAAGAAGAGAAAACAGAGCAGGGCCCTGGAGGCCAACACAGCAGCTGCCCAGGTCCTAAGAACCACTTACCCTTTAAGTTTGGTGGCAATCTGCACATCTGTCATCTTCCAATCAACACCTAGAAAAGGGCAGAGTGTTTGAGAGCCATAAGTGGGAGCTCAGCTCTGAAAGTGTCCTCTCCCACTGCATTCTGGGCAATGCTACTTCTTTCCCTTTTATTCCTTTTTCATCAATCTGGGAATGAAGTTGGAAGTTTCTAGGCCAGGTTACAAAGGCATAGAATCTCAGCGATGGAAGGGACCCCAACATCCATCTCTGTCCCATACCTTTACCATATATCTGCTAAATAGTCATCCAGCAAGATTGCCAATGACCTCACCAAGAGACTGACCATTCTACTGCAGGAGTCAGAGATACACTTGGGAAGCCAGCCTAATCTGGGCAATGGATGGCAGTCAGCTTCTCCAGAATGGTCAGTAATTACTATAAAGATAAACAATACAAATAAATGTGGCATAATGGATAGAGGGAAACCTTGAAGTCAAGAGTATCTGGATTCAAGTCTTGACTCTGAAGCAAACTGGTTGTGCGACCCATGGGCAAGCAATTCATTTCTTAGTGACCCCAGAAAGCTAAAACCATATAGATTATAGACAAATTACAAGGCACTGTGCTAGGTACTTTTATAAATACTGGCAAATGACAACATGAATAGAAGATATATACAGAGAGGGAAGGTGCTGGCTTTGAGAGGGTGTGTATGTATGATGTATGTATGTGTGTATATACACATACTTACACACATATGTATGTATATGTATGTATAATACTTATTGGTTTACTTATAGCATTTTGCCATTTTCAAAGCTCTTTTATATGCATTGTGTATACAGCACAGAGAGAGGTAGCATGACATATGCACATACACACACATACACACACATACATTTTTCTGGGCATATATGTACATACAGATATACCTATATGCATACACACATATATTATAAATATGTATGCATCAGTGGAAGAAATTTGCACTGCAAGTTCCCTGAACTGATGAAATCACAGGTCCTGACCAAAATAATAAAAAAAATAATTATTATTAATTTGGATGTAATATACAACAAAATATTTTTTATTTTTCCTGCGGTCTGGACCTGTGATTTTTATCAGTGTAGTATATATGTGTGTATACACACAAATACATATGCATATATAACACATATTTTATATGTGTTTGTATATAATATGTGTATTTATGTGTGTACATGTCTCTACTCCCTCAATGCTAGAACCTGCCCTCAGAAATTGCCTCCAATTTACGCTGATTAAATCTTGTATTTACATCGTTCTTTGCTAGTAAAAGTGCCCAGCACAGTGCCTATACATAGTAGGTCCATAGTAGGTACTTAATAAATGTTTATCCCCCTCCTCCTCCTTCTCTGACTCCATTAGAAATTAAGTTTCTTGAGGACAGGAACTGTGTTTGTCTTTCTTTGTGCTCTCAGGTCTTAGCAAAAAGCCTGGCACATAGTAAGTATCATTTATTATTTATTTAAATAAATGCTTGTTGGTTTAATTTATTTAGTTTATTAGTTTATTATTAATTTAGTAAGTGCTTGCTTTGTTTCAAAGTGCTTTTATATGTACCATATACAGCACAGAAAGAAGCCATGTGGCACAATGAGTAAAGAACTGGTTTTGAAACCAGGAAGACCTGGGTTCAAATCTCACCTCCAACATGAACCAGCTGTTTAAGCCTGGACAAGTTAACCAACCTCTCAGTGCTTAGACAACTCTCTAAGATTATAAATTGAAGACAAGGTGCTGACCTGCACTGGGGGAGGAAGCACTGGGGAAGGAAGGCCTTGTGTATAGTGGCTGTGCCAGAAATATTTTTTGAATTGACTCTGTGTGTGTATACATATATACATACATATACATATATATACACATACAAATACACATACACATACACATACACATACACATACACATACACACATACTACTATTGCTGCTGCTGCTACTGCTACTGCTGCTAACTGCCCTGATTACCCACTAGAGGGAAAAAAAATGAAAGGGAAGGCAGGGAAGAGTAAGCAGGAATTGAAGGGGGCCCGGGGATTAGAGCTCTGGAAATGCCTAGGGAGACCACAGGTCCCCAAATTTTCTCCCAGTCAAGATGATGCCCCCATGCATAAACATGGCCTGCCCCAGGGGAATCTATGCAGAAGGCAACTGGTGGTACAGGGGGACAGAGTTCTGGACTTGGAGCCAGGCAGCCCTCAGTTCAAATCCTCCCTCAGAGACTAGTTGAGTGATGCCAAACAGGTCATTTTCCCTTATTACCTGTGTTCCCATCTCTAAAATGTGGAATATAATACCACATCCTCACAGGACCATTGGGAGGTTAGAAGGAGATAATCATCGTAAAGTGCTTTGCAGACTGTATATGTTACTGTATAAATTCTAGCTATTCTATTAAGAAAGGATTTGTGGGGAGTCATTTTAAATTCACTAGCTGGATACCTTTGAGCAAGTCATTCCTCTCTGGGTCTCAGTTTCCTCATCTGTAAAGCGAGGATAATGTTATCTGCCCTCACTACCTCTCACAGTGTTACTATAAGGATCAAATGAGATCTTGAAAGGACCTAAGATGTAGTCCAAGGGTTCTTACCCTGGGAACCTGGGAACCTGGGACCCCTTAAGGAGTCTATAGATAGATTTCACAGGTGTTCACAAGCTTGAATGGAAAGTTTCCTCTTTATTACCCCTTTATTTCATTATTTTTTTCTTGTTTTTATGTATTTAAAGCATACTGAGGAGTCTATAATCTTCACCAGATTATAGTTAAGAGCCCCTGAATTCTAATTCAAATCCCTCATTTTATAGATGAAAGGGCTAAGGCCATGAGAGTGTAAGTGACCTTGCCCAAGGTCACACAGGTAATAACTGGCAGGATTTGAACTCAGGCCCACTGACTCCAAGGCCAGTGCTTTTCCCATCATGTCACACCACCTCCCAGAAAGTATATGAAAACACTTTCAACGGTAAAGGATTACATAAAATGCAATTTACATAAACGTATATAAAGTGTAATGTACAGGGGGTCCCTGCTCAGATATGTGCTGGGGATAGACAACCCACCCGGCAGCTTCCTTCTAACTGTGAGATGCTGGGACTGTTAGTGACAACTTGATTATTATTGTTATTACTGCTACCTAGCACTTTGAAGATACAAGATTTTATCAGGGTTGTAGGTAATCCCCTCACCAATGCAGATTTTGACTCCTCTATACTTTAGTAAACCCTAAGGGGCAGCTAGGTGGCGCAGTGGATAGAGCACTGGCCCTGGATTCAGGAGGACCTGAGTTCAAATCTGGCCTCAGACACATAACACTTACTAGCTGTGTGACCCTGGGCAAGTCACTTAACCCCATTGCCTAACCAAAAAAAAACCAAACAAACAAACAAAAAAAAGTAAACCCTAGATCACCATCTATGGTCTATGTGAGCTGTTGTTGCCAAGGAATTGATTCACTCGAAAGTCATCCTCCCAGTGATGAGGCTCTCTCTCCCCCAACTGAGCTGTATTAGGCTGGTTCACGGAAGCCAGGCACACAATCCACACTGGGGCCCTATGTTCAGAGTCTCTATGGGGAGGAAGGGTCTGTGTTCTGCTGGTGTGGCCCTCAAGGACAGGGTTACCCCCATGTCACAGTGGAGGAGAGAGAATCATTAGCATTAGCATAATTAGTAGAAGTCATGTAATACTAATGATGACTGTGCGATTGTATTATTCTAAGTTTATAAGAGCCTTTCCTGAGAGGTGGTTTTAAAAGTAGAGGAGAAAGAGGCACAAGGGCCTCCCCACTCACTTACTGCTACTTCAGCTTATTCACAGACACAAAGTCAGAGGAAAAACTGAGCAATGAGGCAGTCAGTCAATAAGCACCTACTGTGTGCCAGGAAGTGTGAGAACTATATGGAAGAAAGTTGTTGAACATCAGTGTTCCTGCACTGATATCATAGAGTTGAGTTGTGAAATTGTGAGCTCCTTAAGGGCAGCCACTGTCTTTTGCCTCCATTTGTATCCCCAGCACCTAGCAAAGCACCTGGCACGTAGTAGGTGCTTAATAAATGTTCATGGATTAGTTGATTCTTGTCCCACACACCCATGCCCAGTTACATGGGGAAATGCCTAGGTGGCCCTATGAGCCTCTCAGAAAGTTAAAAGTTCTTTTCCCCACAATAACATAGTCTAAATAAATACCTTTTTCTTGAATTTCAAAAATCCCTGTAATGGTTATCAAGGATAAAGGAAGCCAATGCCACAGCACTTTGGGGAAATGATTCGAGGAACTCATCTTTGTAATGGACAACTAGTGAATCTCTAAAGCACTAGTCTGCCCCTGTCACCCCTCCTGCTCAAGAAGTTTCAATGGCTCCCAATGTCTCTGGTTTAAGATGGAAACTCTTCAGCTTGGTGTGAAAAGCCCTTTTCACAGTCTGGCTCCAGGCTTATTTCACATTAAAGGGAGCATGTTTTTGTCTTTCCTTATATCTCTAGCACTCAGCACAGAGCCGGCACATAATAAGTACTTAATAAATACTTGTTGACTGACTGACTGACTGACATTATTTCTTTCACACAATCTACCTTCCAGCTAAACCTGTCTATTCAATGTTCCTCTAACTCCTGTCTCCATGCTTTTGTACTGGCTGTCTCCCATACCTAAAAAGCACTCCTTCCTCCCCTTTACCTCTTAGAATCCCTTCAAAGTTCATCTCAAGTACCATCTCCTACAGGAAGCCTCACTCCCTCTCAGAATCCCCCACGAGGATGAACATGATCCCACCTGGGCCTCTTCAGTCCCCTGCCACTCCCCAGTCCCCCAAGCTCTCATACCTGCAAGGTCTGTGACCAGAAAGCTGCCGTTTGTCCACTGATACAACCAGTGCTGGAAGGTTCGACACTTCTGGGCAGCCTCAGAGGCGGCAGGGGCTGCCTGGGTGCCGCCGCTCTCCCAATCGCGAGCACAGTAAGGCTTCAAAGGCCTCCCCAGGTACTCCTCCAGAGTGGCATATGGGATGCTGTTTGCTGGCCGGTAGATCAAGTACAGCGGGATGATCCTAAACACAGCCCCACCTTGCCCATGAGCATGGTACTTAAACCCAAGAAAGCTCCCAACCCTCTCTAGCCCCACCTCGATTCTGGGGCCTTACAATGGAGTTCCTTCTAGTCCCAGGATTCCAGAGCTTATAGATAGGTAACTTTCTGGGAGAGGAAATTCTCCCAGGCTACCACAGGTCCCTAAACCACTCCCAGTCAGAATGTCCCCATGCATAAAGCATGCACCCTCACTCTCTGGCCAATCTATGAAGAAGGCAGCTATAGATAGAGTGCTGAAACTGGAGTCAGGAAAACCTGAGTTAAAATCCAGCTTCAGACACTAGCTATGTGGCCCTGGGCAAGTCACTTAACTGCCATTTGCCTCAGTTTCCTCATCTGTAAAATAGGGATAATAAAATTACCTATTCCCCAGAGTTGTTGTGATGATAAAATGAGATGATGTTTATAAAGTATATTGAAAATCTTAAAGCACAAAATAAATGCTGCTGTGCTTTTGTTGTTATTATTACTGCTGGAGAATTCCCAGCAATTTAAAGATGGAGGCGGGGGTGACGATGGGCACAGTTAGCTCAGATTACCCAGATGAGGAATTTTTTTGGTACTTGGTTCACTAGAGTCTGGACTGAGTGAACTGGGTACCTTCTGTAGCCACGTGCAGTTACTACTGTGAAGGACTACGATAGGCAAGATAGAATAGATACCTGACTGGGTCAGAATGTAACTCAAGACTACTCATAGGCTAGTGACCTTAAACTTGAGTTATAAAATCCAAGCACAAGGGGAGCGGAAACATTAAGTCTGACATCCATGCAGAAACCCTCTATATAAGGACATCTAAAGCAGAAGAGACTATAGGGCATTTGTGAGATGGGACTGGAAGCTTGAGCTAAAAGCTGCCTGGGTTCTCATCCCTAACCTATCATCCTTTCAAGGCCCCTTCCCCTTGCCATGCCTAAATTTTTCAACCTGTTCACTGAGGGGTGATATTGGGAGCTACAGAGTGATGGGCTGAGAAGGGAGGATAAAGGGACTGAAGGAAAAATCAAGGCCAGAATCATGTATGTGCATGTAAGTGCACACATTTGGGCTCTACTGGGGGTGTGTGCAAGATAATACTGTGTATAGAACTAATCATATGCTTTGCTCATCTCCACCTTTCGAGAACTCTGCCCAGATGAGATCATATAGACACCTGCCTATCACTAGGAAGGAAATTAATGTCCCTAAATCTCAGGAGCATTCTAAAGTCTAGGAAGCAAGGGGCAGAGAGAGAAGGGGAGAACTTACTCAGGCACCTCCCCAAAACCAGGGACAGCTCGGGCCTCAGCCGCAAAGATCTTACAGTATTCTCGGCTCATGTTTTGGATCTTACATCCCTAGAGTAAAAAAAATGAACAAAGCCCTGGAGATAAACTTGCCCAGTTCCAGAGCCCTAAGCAAGATGCCAGGCAGAGGGAGGTAGATCTCAATAACATGGATCACCATCTTTGGGGGATGTAATATGGCAGAGTCCCACACTGGGCAAGAGATTAGACAAGATGAATTTCCAAGTTCCCCCTCCACCTCTGAGATCTTATGCATCAATGACCTTCCCCAACATCTATCCTAAAAGCCTGTAGATGCCCCCCCAAAAAAGTTCAGACTGTTCCCCTATGTTTTTCTAGGAGCATAGCCTTCTTATGCAACTCCCAGACTCAACGGAAAGATGGGCTGGGGAATGGGGAGGAGACCAGCTGAGGACATAGGACTGAGAAGCAGCAACAAAGGGGCTGAGTACCTGGATGGTGACATCATAATTCCTCCCCAGTAGAGAATTCTCACTGCTGGACCCAAACACAAGTAGGTTGGGGACCTTGATGACGCAAGTTCGGCCTGACTCAAAGATGGGCTCCAGTCCATAGATGACTTTGGCTTGGGAGGCCTTGCGAAGACCACGTCCACGCCCACTTCCATGAAGCTCCCCACTCACCAGTCGGCCAAAAAGTTTGTCCCCCCAGCAGCCTGAGTCAGCAAGGCCCTTGGCAAACACCATGGGCGTCATCTCAATCTCTTCTCCAACTGGATGAGGAAATGAGAAAGTGGGAGGTAGTCCCCTAGGCATAAGCCCTAGCCTACCCTTGCTCAGAGAGTTACATCCCTTGGGATGGTAGGGAGGTGTGGCTGATTAGAGCCAAAAGAAGTGATATTGAAACCACTCCTCTCCCTTCTCCACTAAACTCAAGGTCCCAACCTGCAGTACACGTCCTCATCTCCCATGTGAGTGGCTTGCAGGGCTGGGCCCACCCCCTGGATTAGTTCCTCTTGTATACCCAGCAAGGGACAGATCACAGACTCACAGTAGAGACCAATGGAACATGACTGAATGAACCCCTTCTAGGCTAGTCCTCCTTGGCCTCTCCCTCCCACACCCCTCTGGGGAAAAATATTGATTCTAGATTACATGTTAAAGGGTTGGTGCACATGTGGGGAAAGATTCCAAACTAGAACAGAAATTCCAAACCCATGCAGGTGATCATTCCCGTAGACAGCAGGGATGGCTATGAAGCCCCATCAGCTATTTCCCAAGGGGCACACTCTACCTTCAACTTCTTCTCTGGAGATGAATCCTGACAACACTGAATGGGACAAAGGAAGATGGTGAGGGACTGTGTTTTGGGTTCCCCTGCCCAGATTGGGAAATCTGTTCTCCACTAACCAATAACCTCCAGGATCAAATATAAATTCCTCTGTCAGGCATTTAAAGCTCTTTGTAATCTGGGCAGCCTATTCCACTTTACTCTGTGATTTAACAACACTGGTCTACTTGAAAATCTTTGAATGCAACACTCCATCACCTGTGTCCATAGCTTTGCTCTGGCTGTCTCCCATGGCTGGAATAGTCTACTCTACCCCATGCCCCAGACACACTCCCCCTGACATCCCTGTCCCTCCCCTCCTGCCAACCTTTTAGTCTCCTCGGCTTTCTCTGGGTCTCACACTGCCTTCATATACACCTATACATTGTGTAAGTTCCTAGATATCTACATGTTATCTCCTCTATGAGAATATACTCCCCTTGAGAGCACAGACTATGTTTTGTTTGTTTGGGAGTTGTTGGGTTTATTATTATTATTATTATTATTGCTTTGTATCTCTGATGCTCAGCACAATACCAGGCACACTAGTAAGCTTAGTAAAAAGGCTTGCTGAGTGACTTCTTTGCTCACCCACCCACTGTTTCCCCTCAGCTGTGCCTCTGTTTGGAGAATGTGCCCAAGAGCTTTACTGAGCAGGGCACATGGTGTGTGGTAGGTCCCAGGGCAGTGGACAGGGGCTAAACAAAGTTCTCACTCACCCTCAGGGCTAAGACAAAAGTTAGTTGAGTCGGTGCCGTGCTCATTTTGGATGGTACACTGGTAGACACCACAGTCCCGAGGTGAAGCCTGTACAATTGCTAAGGCCGCTGGTCCCTCATCTCCCGCACTGTGAACAACAAAAAAAAAAAAAAAAAAAAAACAGAATCCAGAGGCCTAGGAATATGACCTGGACTACAGAACCCTGGGCTCACAAGGGCCCACCAGAAGTCTCACTCTGACCGAAAGAAGTAGAAAAAGGAGACAACACAAGGTGTTCCTAACAAAACAAAAGCTGGCTCCCCAGTAAGTTCTAGGGATGGTAGAGACTCCAGCACATTATTCCTGGGCCCTCCACTCTCAGGACCACTGGGTGTGGAGAATCCAGGCTCTGAGAGCACAAGGCTCTGGCCAAAGCAGTTAGGCCCCTTACCTCCTCTCTACCTCAGCCACAGGGAGCTGGTCCTTGGCCCAAGTCAATACCGAGTCACTGAGGATGTTGAAGAATTGACACCACAGCTTCAGGCTTCCAGAAGCATCAGGAAATTGTTCCACCCGGATCTTCCGGATGACCTGGGGAGCTGACAGGGAAATGGAACTGTATAAGCCTGGTGAAGGCCCCTCCCTTTCTTGGGGGAACTGAATCTTCCCCAAGTCTTCTCCAGGGCAGCAGGGAGAAGATCACTGGATCTGGAGTGAGGACACCAGAGTTCAAACTGTGTGATCCCAGCCAGTTCATTTAACCCATGGAGGCTATTTCTTCAGCAAAATATAAAAAGACTTGGAAAAGATGGCCTCTAAGGTCCCTTCTAGCTCAACATTCAGTAAATTAACTTCCCTATGCTTTTATTTGTATACAAGTCAGGTACACGTGAAGAGCTGGAAATTAGGATGTCTGGTTTCAAAGCATAACCCTGCCAAAGAATCCCTGTGTCACCTCGTAAGTTATTCACTCTCTGGGCTGCCATGTTGGTGAAGTGGTACAAGCAAGTACTTGGGGGAAGAGTCCAAAAGGTGAAGAGTCACAGTGCCAGGCCACCTCTGTGTGATCTAGCCTCTCCCTGAAATGCCCATGCTTTATCTCTCTACCTGTTCATTCCATCCTCTAAAGCCTGATACATAGGATCATAGGGGTAGAGCTGGAAGAGAATGGCCAGGCCATTTAATTCAATCTCTCATTTTGTAGATGGGGAAATCAAGACCCAAAGAAGTTAACTGTCCTGCCCAAGGTAATACAGGCAGGAAGCATCAGATGTGGGATTTGAATCCAAGATTCCAGAGTCAGTATTCTTTTCACTGGCTCTCCTCCAGATCTCCCAGTCTGTAATGGCTTTCATCTGCCCATGCCCCTACCTCACATAGTACATTATATTCTTATTATGCATTTTTCTCATATTACTTTATACTGTTATTACTTGAGCGTGCTACTGTTCCCCTATTAGACTATAAACTATAAAGAAAGCAGGGTATTTATCTTATTGAAACTTTGTATCTCTCCTTCCAAAGCACAGTGTGTTGCCTGCAGCAGTTCCTTAACAAGTGTCTGTTAAACTGAATTGCTATTTAATTGAATCCCAAGTGAGGCCTGAGGGGACAATCTGAGCCCTGGCGTAGAGACAAAACAGAAAGGGTTCCTAGGCAACAGACTGGCACTAGGAGTTCTAGATCCTGCCTAATTTCAGGGACTCTGCTCAGCCCTGACCCCAGGCCTGTTTGCAATAGGTTTTAACTACTGTTTTCCAAACGCTACTTCTTCCGGCAACTGGTCCCCAGACCAGGGTTTAAAGAGGGGCCAAAGCAAGGGGTCAGGCAACTAAGAAAACAGGGTTCTTCCCTATAGAACAGACAAGAACAGGTGCCTCAATGGACATTCCAGGCCCACTAAGCAAAACCTGGGCCCCCTTTAACCAGCTCCGCCTAAAACATGCCTCCTGGAAATCCTCTTTTCATCGCATGAGGTACCAAAAAGGCAGTAGTGTGTCTATACACCCAAAGCAAGGCCCTACATCCTGAGAACACTTTACTCTCTCCCATGAACTTTCTACCCTCCCTTCCCAAACCAGCTCTCACCCTTGAAATGGTCTTTGGTTTTTCTGGGCTTGGCTGTCTCATCCTGTTTGCCGTCTTCAGGGGCCAGCTCTGTGTCTGGCCCACTGCCCTTGGGCCCAGAGCCCAGGTCTGCAGAGTCCTCATCTGGACGAGGCACCTCGAGCAGCTTTCTGTTCTGAGAAGGGGAATGTCTCTCCTTTGGGGGAATCAGTGGGGATCCAGGTGCCAGGCTCTTCCTGGACCCACGGGGAGAAACTGTAGGGCTTTCCCTATCTTCAGGAGCAGGTGCCTCCCCCTCCCCAGCCACTTTGGCCTTGGGGAGAAATCTCTTTCTCCGAGCTCCCAAGGCTAGCTCCTCTGGGGTTGCACCTGGGAGACTCCCCCCATTATCTCCTGAGAGCTCTGCTTCTCGGAAGGGCTCTTCCCTCTTGCTCTCCCCAAGAGGCTCCCCCATCCTGATGGACCCTTGATCCCCACTGATCCAAAGGGACTCCCCCATTCTGCTTTCCTTCTGCCAGCCCTGATTTCCTCAGCAACCCCCTTGTTACTTGTCTCTGGGCCTTGCACCTGGGTCTCCTCCCCCACCACAATGGTAGGGACAGTCAGTGGACTGGGGTATCTTCCCAGGGGCTTCCCTGCTGCCAGGGCCTTGTGGCCAGACTGCACCTCCTGGTCAATGAGGCCAGTGAGCCGGCGGGAGGTACAGGGGCTCAGTTGCAAGCTCCGTGCACTCTGAATGAGGTGGTTGTTCTCCACTCGCTCTAGAATCTTCCGAGATGTCCGGGGGCTCAAGCCAGCGATCTCCACTGTCGGTGCCAGAGTGTCTGGGGGACCAGGTCCCCCTGCAGGGGGCTGCTGGCCCTCTGGCCTCCCTTTGGCTTCAGTTTCACTCTGATCTGTGTCTGCACCAGAGAGCTTCAGGAGCAGGAGTAAATAATTCTTCAAGGAATCAATGAGGCCACTGTCAGGGGCTACAGGGCTGGGGGCCCTAGGCCCAGCTCCTGGAACCTCAGGTTCAGACTCCCCACAAGCACCAAGAGCATTCCCTCTATTCATTGCAGCCTCAGTCTCTGCACGATGACCCTGGCTGGGCATCCCCACTGTTTCCAAGGCTTCACAGTGAGGCTGGGGCTTTGGATCAGAATACCCCAAGGTCCGGGCTGCTTCTGGACAGGGCATCTCAGCCACATTGGTAGGCTCTCCTTCAACTTGCTCTTTCTGAGTGTTGTTTGGGAGGCAGACTGCCTTCAGGCTAGGAATAGTGGGGGCCTTGGTGCTTATAGGAGAAGTTGGATAGGAGTCTGAGGCAAGGCCCAAGGTCACCTCTACTACAGGGTCAGACCCTTCAATAGAGGCCTCGCTTATTGGCTCCTCAGTGGGCCAAGGCAACTCCTCCTGGGACTGTCGAGCAACTTTGTCAACTTCAGTAGGGCCTGGTACCCCTAGTCCTCTGCTTACCTGCCTAGCCACTGGCCTCACACCAGCTTCTAGCCCAAGAGGGCCTGGGAGGCTCTGCATGTTCCCAAGGCCTGGAATCTGTGCCTCTTCAGACCTGACCTGTGAAGGATGGGAGGATTCCATGGACAGCCTCTTGAAGTGGCTAGGTCTCTGAGGAGCCGCTGTAGTCTTGAACCTAGGGGCTGTAGGCCTCAGATCATGGCTACTCTCCCGCTCTGACCGTGTTACTGTGACCACCTGTGTCCTCTCATCTCTCTGCGTGCTATCCACATGGGTTCTTCCAACCACCTGTTGATTCACATCTGCCTGTGTCCTCAAATCAACACGTGCCCTCAAGTCCTCCTGTGTCCTCACATCTTCCTGCACGCTCTTCATCTGGGCGCTAACGTCCAACGGCATCCTTCTATCCCTCTTCAACCTCTCCTCTTCCTCTGTCTCCACATCCATGGGCTCACTGCTCTCCTGTTCTCCCTCAAGGTTGTGGCTGAGACACTCTGCAGCAGAGCTGCTGTCAGCAGATGTTGTAGGAGCTTGGGCCACCCGGGTTTCCAGGGCCTGAGAACAGAGAGAGAGTAAGAAATAAGACAATGGCATTTGTGTGGTTCAGGTTTGCACAGCTGTCCACATCCGTTATATCACTTGGTCCCCAGGGATAGGGACCAGATCAGGGATTTCACCGGTATAGAGGATGCTGGGATGAGGAAATTCCCTCTACCAATGCAGTTCTGCCCCTTCTCTACAACATACATTCTTAGAGAATTGCCTACAGTATTGGGAAGTTAGGACTTACCCAGGGTCCCAGAGCTAGAACGTATCAGAAGCGGGACTTAAACTCAGGTCTTTCTAGATCTGAGGTGACCTCTTTATCTGCTATGCCACATAGCTTCTCAGTGAAGTAGATACTATAGCTACTATTAACCCTTTATATCATATATATAATATATAGCTATATACATGTATATTATATATGTGTGTGTGTGTGTGTGTGTGTGTGTGTGTGTATAGCTACTATTAACCATTTTACAAATGGATATGGCTAGCCAATGTCAGTTGGTACTATAACTCAGGTCTCCCCTGGCTCCAGATCCAGTGTTCTTTCCACTAAACCACACAGGCCTTGCTATCTATTTTACCTATTATGCCTGTTTGGAGATTCCTTTATAGCCAGACTGTACTAGCCTCACTCAAGTCTTGCTCTATCCTTACCAGGACAGTACTAATGAGAACCTTAACCATCTGTTTGTCTTAGGGCCTAATGTATTGGGTTTCCCACTACAAACTGAGGCTAGGTTGGAAGGATTTGGCCACAGGCAAAGCCTGGTGCCTCCTCAATTCTAGAGCATCAGAATTCCTTCTATGTATGCCTGGTCTGAGATCTATAGCCTGACACTCACCAAGAAGACATGAAACTGGATTTATGGTCTTTGTTGAACTGAGGACACAGCCAGGAGAGAAAGAAAGAGTTATGGACAACTTTGGAGCATCCTATTCTCCCAGGCAGACTGGATTTAAAGCTGCTTTCTACAAAGATTTCCCTAAGCCTGCTTCTCTACCTTCCTCATATCCATCAGCTCCTCTTAACAGTGTGAAGTCCCAGATGCTGTCCTTTGGGGCCTCTGCCCTCAGCAGATCACACCAACGCTTCCCTTCTCTTGGATAGGCAAGAAGAAATACAGGCAGTGTTATGAATGGGTCAGTTCCTATGATGTAACGTATGCACCTATGATCCCTAGCCCGGGGGTACAAGTCTTGGATACTTCACTTAGCATAGCACACCTTGTGTTACCAGAAATTCAGGAGCCCATATCTTTACCAAACCCCTCCCCAACTTGATGACTGCTTCTAATCCATAATCCTCAGCTATCTCTTCTTGAGAAGACTCTCACCCTTCCCCCATCTCCCCCCCACCCCCACCCCGAGCCACACATCCAGATTTCAACAGCTCAGGTCTCCTGATATAGCTGCCCTCTTCTGCCTACCCTCTTTGTTCCCAGGAAGACTAAAATCTAAAAGCCTCCTCTGCTGCCAGATAACAGCAACAGGGCAGGGGGAGTGGGCTGGCAATTTCTTCAAGGATGCTCACTCTGATTTCCCTCCCTTTCCTGAATTCCTCTCTGCTGACATCCTATCAGTATCACCCAGCTGGGCCCTAAATTGTCCTTTTCCTGCTTCATGAGTGCCCATCTGTCTCCCTAATCAGCCTGTGAGCTCCTCAAGGACAGGGGGCCCTGTCTTCCTCCTTTGTCTCTCTGAAGGTTTGGGCACCAAGTCAATGTCCAAAAAATACTTGTTGATTGATATACAAGTGAGTATCTATATTCTCCAAGTCAAAAGTCTGGGCCTTTATTGTAACAGGGCTGCTCTCTGCAAACAGAAACCTTAGTAGTCATCAGTTAAAACTTCCTCTTTTATAGATCAGGAAACTGAAACCCAAGAAAGTCAGATCATTTTGCCCAAGGTAAATTACCAAAGGTAATTACCAAACTAATTACCAAAGAGTAAATGGCAGAATCAACATGTGAACCCAAGATTTCTTAACTCCAAATCCAATCATTATAAAGAAGCCATTCTCATTATCAATGATATTAATGAGATACTTCAAAATTTTCAAAGCCCTTTACATATACTTTCTCATTTGAGTGCAACAACAATCCTATAAGGTAGGTGCTACAAGCATCATTTTCCCCATTTTACAGATGAGGAAACTGAGGCTCAGAAGCTAAGTTACCAGCACATATTGTCCTGTAGAACTGATCTTTGCAGTAGAGCTGTTCAGATGCTTCAGTATTCTCTCTAGTGGTGAGGGAGGTTGAAAGAAATCCCAGAGAGTCCCATTATACCCCAGCTCCTGCACTGAACCATCCCCCACTAGAGTACTGTCTAACCTGAGAGTTGGAGCAATCACAGAATTAATCCAAGGGTTGGTATTAAGAAAGAGTCATGGTTGAGGGGCAGCCCAGGGATAGCTAGCATTTATAGAGAGAGTTTTAAAGCTTGCAAAGCACTACCTCATTTCATCCTTACAACAACATTATAAGGTGACTATTATTATTTCCATTTTACAGATGAGGAAACTGAGGCCAAGAGGTTGTGGCCAAGTGTCTTGGCCACAACTAGCGTCTCAGTCAGGATTCAAACTCAGATCTTCCTTACTCTCTCCCCTGTACCACCTAATTGACACTAGTTTTCAAGTCTCTTAAGGGGATTCCTGGAGCATGAGGTGAGAAAAATCCTCTTAGTCTATCCCATGTAGTTCTTCTCCACCCCGTTGAAATGGCCATCTGGTCCCACAGGCCTGCCCCCTCATCAGCTGGCAGAGGGATGTGCCTTCACATTGGGCAGAATAACAGGGACATCCACAAGGCTCCCTTGGAGCCCAGTAGCTCCTGGAAATACAGATTAAGTGACCAAAATAGATTCACAGAGCAAAGAAGATGGTCAGGAACAGATGCAGTTGTAGGCTCAGGTCAGGACAGCATTGTCAATCCCCCTGTCCCTGGGGTGAACTAGGCATAGGGAAAGCCCCTTCAACACCTGAAGCCTTCAAAAACTGCCCCTGGTCACCATGCATCTCCTCCTCAGATAGCAGGACACTAGAGGAAGAGATTTTCCCGTATTTTCAGAGCAAATGGGCTCAGGCAGCCACAGACAAGTTTTGCTATCCCTGTAGATTTGGAATTAGGCGATGGACCCTGGATCTGGGGTTGCAGCAAATGTCCCCTGGCCCTGCCTGGCACCGTGTCTCCTCCCCACTCCCCTTCCATAAATAACCCTGAGCACTCTGGCTGCCAGACTGCTTTAGAAACATTTTCCATGAAGTCAGACTCTCAAAAAAGCCGTCACGTCATTCTTACCTCACAAGGGGTCCTGTGGGCTATCGGCTTCTGGGCAGGGCTCTCCCGGGTCTTGTGCTTCCGCCGGGCAGGGGGAGTTGGGACAGTGGCTGCTGGCTCAGGGGAAATTCCCAAGGGTTGGGCCCCTTGCTGGGGAGAAGGACCCAAAATGCCTGAGGGGGTACCCACAGAGGCACAAGGCTGGGAATCACTGCTGGGGTCACATTTTGGTTTAGGAGGGGCAAATCTTTTCCTATTAAACACCCTGGGAGGCTGTTGGGCAGACGGGGACACTGGCTGGCCAGGAGTCAACTTCTCTCTTCCTGTCTCTCTCCCTGGTAAGGCCCCCAAAGAGATACCACTTTGGGGACTTCCACTGGGGGTCTGGAGTCTTTCCTCAGTGGCAGTAGACTGAGTGTTCTCCAGGTACATGTCCTTTAAGGAGAAATAAGCATTGCCATCCGGGGTAGGAGCTCTTAGGTCCTTGCCAGTCTTGACCCCAATCTTGTTTGAGCTTCTAGCCTCCTGTGCCACAGGAGAGGTTGATTCCAGGGTCCTATCTGCCCTGTCCAGCTTCAAGGTCTTTAGAGAACTCTCTCTTTGAGCCAGTGGGATATTCTCCGCCACCATGTGGCCACGTGTCCTGCTGGAGTCGTATTCTGCAGTGGTGGGGATGTGATTTTCAGGTGTTCTTGCTCCTTCAGGTTTTTGTTCGCTTGTCCTCTTCCCCTTGTGGCTTGGCCCCTCTTCTTTCTTCTTCTTCTTGGCCACAGACTCCTTGGTGGGTGGTCTCTGGGAGATGAGCTCCACAGCCTCACAGAGGTAAGAGAGAACACCATCTCCACTCTCCTCACCGCTCTCCAAGGTGGCATCCCCATTAGTGGTGACCTCACCCCCTGTAAAGCTATTGGCCAGGCCAATGGCTGGGCTCCAGGGTGGCTCACTAGTCTCTCCTTCAAGCTCGGGCTCCAGGGCTCCATCCTCAGGGTCTTTGCAAGAAGCTGACAGATCTTGCTCCCTTGCCCCACTCAGCCGGCGTTTCCTCTGAAATCGATCTGGACTGAGTTTACGTACTGTGTCAGCCTCCGATACCATCTCCTTCCCATACTTTCGGCTCTGCTCAATCTCCCGCATCTTTGCCTCAGCCTTCCTCTTCAGTTTTGCAAACCATCGCTGGTGAATCTTGTACTCAGTCATGGTCCCCACTTCCAAGACTCCTGAGCAGGACACAATGCCCTTGGCATTTTGAGCAGATGCCTGGTAGATAGCAGCATCTTCTTCTTGGCACCTAGAAGCACAAAAAACAGGTGAGGAAGCAGTACCCTGACCCTGGCAGACTGAGAACCCACTCAAGCATCCAGCTCCACCACCCCTGCACAGTGGGAGAAGCCTTTATTCAGACTGGCACAGAGGAGCCCTTAGCCTGGTAGAAAAAGGCAGCATTCTTCACACCAGTGTTCCCTGCACCAGACTCTCCATCTCCAAGCTCTGAGTATTCCCATTGGGTGTCCCCAATGCCTGGAACTAACTCCCTCCTCATCTCTGCCTCCTAGTTTCCATGGCTTCCTGAAAGTATTTGCTAAAGTCCCCCTTTTGATGCCCATCAACTGGGGAATGGCTGAACAAGTTGTGGTATATGAATGTAATGGAATACTATTGTGCTATAAGAAATGATGAGCAGGTGGACTTCAGAAAAACCTGGAAAGACCTATATGGTCTGATGCCGAGTTAAGTGAGCAGAACCAGGAGAACATTGTACACAGTAACAGCCATGTTGTGCAATAACTAATATTGATAGATTTAATCCTTCCCAGCAATACAAGGATGTAAGACATCTCCCAAGGCCTCATGATGGAAACTACTATCCACATACGAAGAAAGAACAATGGAGCTGGAATGCAGATCGAAGCATATTATTTGCTTTTTTTTTTCTTCTGTTGTGTTTTGTTTCGTCTTTCTGGTGGTTCCTCCTATTGGTCCTAATTCTTTCTTACAACATCACTGATGTGAAAATATGTTTAATTGGAATGTATATGTATGCCTGTATCAGATTGCATGCCATCTTGGGGAGAGAGGGGAAGAGGGAGGGGGAGAAAAATGTAAAATTCAAAAGCTTATGGAAGTGATTGTTGATAATTCAAAATAAATTAATTTAAAAAATAAACTTAGTTATCACATAAAAAAATAAAGTCCCCCCTTTTGCAAGAAACTTATCTCAATCCCCATTGAATGCTACTGCCTTCCCTCTGTGGATTACCTCCTATTCATTCATTCATTCATTCATTTTTGGGGAGGAAACAATTGGAGTTAAGCTACTTGCCCAGAGTCACATAGTTAAATGTCTGAGTCTGGATTTGAAGTCAGGTCCTCCTGAGTCCAGATCTGGTGCTCTGTCCACTGCGCCACCTAGCTGCCCTGCAATTTATCTTTCACGTATCTTGTTTGTACATAGTTGTCCCCATAAGCTCTTTGAGAACAAGAACTGTCTTTTGCCTTTCTATGTCTCCCCATCATTTAGTACAGTGCTTGGCACATAGTGGGTGCTTGTTGACTGGTTCACAAAGCTCTTTAAGGTTCGCAAAGCCTTTTATATTCACTTGATCCTTACAACAATTCTTCAGAGTTCGGTGCTGTTATTATTCCCAATTTACACATGAGGAAACTAAGACACAGAAACATTAAGTGACTGACCGAGGGTCAGCTAATGCGTTTCTCTGACTGAGGCAGTATTTGAACTCAGGTCTTCCTGACTCCAAGTTCAGTACTCTAGCCACTATGTCATAATTACTAAGATCCTCCTACTACATAGATAAAGAAACTAAGGCCCAAGGAAGGCAAGTGATTGAACATGTAACCACAATCAGGGGGGCTCAGGAGAGGCCCCCCACAAGAGCAGATGGCCCACAGAGGTGCCACATGGAAGTTCTGGGGGAAGATGACATAGATAAGTATGCCCAAAGGTTCAGAACCCCTTGTGGTCACCCTATCTGCATCCACAAATTCTAGGGCACAGGATTAGCACCTCTCTCATTCTTGGTGGGGCTCAGCTCTACTCTCTTCCCTGAAGCAAAGTCCTTCTAAGCTGGGTTAGGCCACATCATTCGTCCATTCCCAAGAACCACAGCAGCTCTAAGAGTGCCATAAGGTCACGGTGACATGAAGACGGATAGGAAGGAGTCCCTGGAACATGGAATACCTAATACTCAGAAGTAGATTACAGAAACAATGAGGCTTCTGGTCTATGTAGCTATAAAACTCTGAAACACAGGACAGAACATGAAAAAAACAGTATGGTGCAGTGTGCAAAGTCCTGTGCTGGGCCTTAGGACACTTGGGTCCTTGTCCTGGCTTACTTACTTACTAGTTATATAACCTTGGCCAAATCACTTAACCATTCTGGGCCTCAGCTCCCTCATCTGTTAAAGGAAGAGGCAGCAGCAATACCGCTACTGGGCCTATACCTCAAAGGGAAAAAAGAAAGACAGAAAGGACCTGTATGGACTAAAATATTTATGGCAACCCTTTTGGTAGCGGCAAAGAATTAGAAACTGAGATGCCTATAAATTGGGGAGAGGGGTAAACAAATGATGGTACATGGCTGTAACAGAAAATTACTGTCCCATAAGAAATAATGAAAGGAGTGCGTTCAGAGAAACCTCAGAAGATGTTATAAACTGATGGAGAGTAAAGTAAGCAGAACTGGGAGAATGATTAATACTATAACAACAGCATTCTATGAATAACTTCTGAAGACTTAAAAACTCTGATCTATGCAATGACCAACCATAACTCCAGAGGATAGATAATGAGGTTAAATTCTCAACGTGAGAATTTACACCTTAAAAATCAGCAGACACGGTAGATGAGGGCTTGATTTATTCTTTTATTGATTGTGTAGACTTAAGAAAGTGACAGAGAAAATGTTAATATGCAGATGAAACTTAAGTTTGTCATAAGTACATTTCCTTCCCTGGAGTGCCAGTTGTTAAACATTTACCAGTGCATCATTGCATTCTGATAAAATAATGATGGATTCAAGATGCAGAATGAACCATACATTTTTAGACATGGCCAATGTGGGAACTTTTTCACTTGACTTGTTAAAAGGGTTTTTTTTTCTTTTTTTAATGGGAGGAAGTGGGCAGGAGAGAAAATAGATTTTTTGGACTAAACCTCTAAGATCATCCCTTGAAGCTCTAATATTCCATGATTTGATGACATCAACTCTCCTTCCTGGGAGTCCAAAGCTCTGAACATGGTACCTTGTTCCCTCTACTTCAAAGCACTTAAGAGAAAGGAAACCTACCCATGAACTAAGGAGCAACCTCAAAGTTCAGGCAGTCATGCCAGCCACCTGAGCTGAAATAAGGCTGAGCCTCACACTACACAAGAGGCCAAAAGATATTAATGGAAAGAATGCTTGATCTGGAGTTGGGGTCACAAGACCACAAAGAACTGAAAGAGATCTCCGAGTCATCTAGTCCAATCCTCTCATTTTGTAGATAAGTAAACTGAGGCCCAACTAGGAGACTGATGAAATTTGAATTCAGATGTTCTGACACTAAGTTCCAAAGGAACTTGTACCACGTCACCTCAGGCTCTGGGTATCCTGGGGAGGAAGGAAGGGTCTGCATCCTGGCTTTGCCACTTACCACTTGCATCACCTTGAGCAAGTCACATAACTTCTCTTGCCCTCAGTTTCCTCATCTGCAAAATAGGAGGCCTGGATCTGTCTATCTATGATTCTATGACCCTCCATTTACACGGTGCCCAGTATCTGCCTTTCGGTTAACCTTAGCCTCAGAGGACCTCAATGGCATGAAGGATATTCAACATCTATAAAGCAGTGAGGTAAAATGGAAAGACCAATGGATCTGGAGTTAGAAGAGTTCAAAACTCAAGCCCCACTGCCTAAGTGACTGACTGACCTGTGTGACCTCAGGCAAGTCAACATGGCAGCCTCTAAAAAAGCTAATGAAGTCTTAGGCTGCATTGAGAGGGATGGGGTCTGGAGCAGAGGGAGTCCTGTTGCACCATTTCCTTGCCAGACCATCTGTCTGGAGCAATGCATCCAGATGTGGGTACCATACTTTAAGAAGGACAGTGGTAAGCTAGAGTGCTTCCAGACCAGGACAGTGAGGGAGATTCAAGATCATTCTGGTTGGAGGAATTAGGAATTGTTAGCCTTGAGAAGAGAAGACTTGTGGGAACATGATCACTGCCTTTAATATTGGAAGTGCTGTTTTTTTAATGCGAATTAGATTTATCCTGCTTGGCCTCAGAAGGAAGAACTAGGAATGGTGGGTGGAAGCTGCAGAAAGGAAGATTTATGTTTGGTGGAAGGAAAAATTTCCTTATAATTAGAATGATTCCAAAAAATGCAATGAACTATCTCAGAAAGTAGTGGGTTCCCCCTCCCTAGAGATCTTCCAGCAATGGCTGAGTGATCATTTATCAAAAATACTGTAGGCGAAATTCTTGGTCAAGTACAGACTGAGCTATATATAACCCCCGAACTCCCTTCCAACTCAGAGATTCTATGAAGTCATATAATCTCCCTAGGTCTCAGTTTCCCCATCTGTAAAATGAGAGGGTTAGACTAGATGATCTTTAAGGCCCCTAATAGACCTAAATCCTATGAACTTTTGTTCTGGGGCCTGAGGCAAGCAGGAAAGACTTAGTCTTAGCACCAAGACAACCAGGATTCTTGACTCCCCAGGCAGAGATGGGTCCTGGCCAAATGAATGGTACTATCTAGTGGGTTGCCTCCCCTGTTGCTTTGGACAGTCAGTCTTCTCTCCCCTACAGGCTGGAGGGGCCCCAAGAGAATTGCCTTCATGAGGGTCAGGGTGTAATAAGACCTCTCAGTCCTTCCCTACTCCATTCTTCCCTGAGAAGGGCAGGTCTATAGTTTCGTCCAATCTCCACTGAGCTCAAATGTCATTTAGGATGTCCCCTTCAGTGACTGACACAAAGCCACTTCCCATCACATACACTCACCTCCTCCACATCTGTGAAGGGAGTAGCCCACACAATCCCAGCCCCACTCACTTGTACAGCTGTAGGGTGTGCCGATTCCCCTGATGAGAAATCTCATATTTTGGCAGGCCACAGTAGCGGTCCAGCTCTTCGTCATCCTTGTACCACGTCACCTCAGGCTCTGGGTATCCTGGGGAGGAAATAAGACACTACTAAAGAAAGAGCAATTCCAAATCAGCTGGAGAAAGGAAGAGGACTTCCAGTAACAGACCCCCAAGATATCCTCAATGACCTGGGCAGAGAGAGCAGGCTGCCTGCCCCAAGGGCTACTGGACCATGCTGTTGATTAGAAGCTCAACCTTGCTGAGGCAGGGAAGAAGGGCTGCGGGTCATTAATAATAAAAATAGCCAGCTTTTATTTAGCACTTTAAGGTTTACAGGTATTATTTCATTTACCCTCACAACAACTCTAAGAGGTAGGATGCTATTATATTCCCATTTTTAAAATGAGGCAGACAGAGGTCAAGTGACTTGCCCAGAATCACACAGGTCAGATCTGAGGCAAGATTTGAACTCCAGTCTTCCAATATCACCTAGCTGCATCTAAAAAGGAAACTCCCACACCCCTAGGCAGGAAAGCCTGGAAGACCTCAGAAACAGCTCTGACCAGGGATACCTAGTCTTTTCCCCCAGGACCTGGATATTCTGTCAACTGGCAAGAGTGGAATGGGTCAATCATAGGATTATAGTGAAACAGAATATCAGAGAGGAGAGAGACATTGAAGATCTTCAAGCCTGACCCCCTCATTTTACAGATAGAGAAACTGAGGACCAGAGAGATGACATGACCTACCCAAGATCTCAAAACAAATCAGTGGAACTAGTATGTCTCCTGACTCCCAGTTTAGTGTCTTTCTGTCTATGCTATTCTGTCTAATCATCGAATCATAGAGCTACTAATTTTTACAGATGAGAAAGCTAAGGCCCAAGAAGGTTTTATTTTGTTAAATTACATAAGAAATTATTTCTCTATTCCTTTCTTCCAGTCTGGAAGTATAAGGCTTCTCACAGTCCCAGTCCCATCACTGATCAATATGGTAGCAGGTTGTTTCTGATATTTATGGCTGCCCCCCCCTTTAGTAACCTCCACTCCCAGGGACTCAAGTGATGAATGTTGAACTTGGTGCAGACACCCAATAGCCATTGTCCACTGATGCTCAGAACCCCTGTGCTCAAGAGATCTGCCAACCCCAGCCTCTCTAGTATATGGGATGACAGGTGTGTGCCACCACGCCCAGCTAGTTCCATATTTCCAGACACCAACTGTTCCCATTGTTTGGGTTCTGGCTCTGTCTTCAGAGGTACATGTCTTACTCAGTCACTACCCTCACCCTCCAGTGACTATAACACACTTCCTAAGGGACGTCTTTTGGAGGTCATAAACATTAACATACTAATTTCTTCTACAAATATCTAGCGAGTGTCTAATATGTGCCTTAACACAGTGTCTGGCACATAGTAAGTGCTTTATAAATATTTATTGAATTAAATCTACAACAAAGAGTTCTAGGTGCTGAGGGGAGGGGTTCAAAGATAAATATGTAAATACCACATCTGCCCTGAAAAAGCTTAATAACAAGGCAGATGTGACAAATGTGCAAGTAATTGAATTACATGGCAGTGCCAATAAATGCTATGAGATCTATAAACAAAGTGCTCTTCTGGTTTAGAGAAGTTTTCTAGCTTAGGAGTTAGGGGGCAGGATGTCGTGGTGAATCAGGGTAAGTTTCAGAGAGGAGATGGCATTTAAGCCAGTCCTTTAAAGATAGGTAGAATTTCAAAAGGCTGAGATGAAGAAGATGGCATGCCAGGTGGAGGGAACAGCAAGAACAAAGGTAGAGAGGCAAGAAGCATAAAGCACGTTTTAGGGACCCATGCCTGGTGCATGGTAAGCGCCTGATAAATGTTGAGTTAAATTGACTAGGGGATATTGCCCTGGGGTCTAACTAGGGCAGGAATAGGAGATAAAAATGGATCTAGAACAACCCTGGCACTCTCCCCATACAACCCCAGCTGTAAAGTGAGCTCCATGTTTCCACTGAGCTAAAAGCCCCTGGTTACATCACTGCATCTGTGTGCGTTTTGATGAATGCCAGAGACCACAAATGTCCTCAGCCATCTTGTGGAATGATCTCACCACTGTGAGAGGCTGGTTCCATGCCTCCCTGTCCCATGATGTGCCTCCCAACCCAGATTCCCACAGGGATCAGCTGAGTGGCCTGACAACTGGAAGAAGCTCTCAGGAGCAGGAAGTTCGGGGAACTTGGAACCTGCCAGTCTCAGAGCCTGGATACCATACTGTGGTGCTTATGCAAACAGGCAGGGAAAGGTCAGTGGCTCAGAGCTGCAAAACAACTCAAGGACTTGAGGAAATGTTCTCCCAGAAAGACATTTGACTTAATCACCGAGTTATTTTCAACTCTGCCAAGGAAGAAGACATCCACTCACTCACCCAAGATAAGGATTCATTTAGCTGTCCCCTCATGGGCACTCATACCACCCTGAGCAGAACAGCCTCCAGCAGCAGACTATCTATTTCATCTCTCCGTGTTACCGCCTTGGCTTAGGAGGGACATGATATCTTCAAATATCTGAGGGGCTGCCTTGTGGAAAAGAGATTAAGCTTGGTTTGTTTTTCTACATTCAGGCGGTCAGTAAACATTTCCTAAGGACCTACTGTTTGTCAGGCACTGTGCTAGCTGCTGGGGGTACAAAGAAAGGCAAAAAGACAGTCCCTGCCCTCAAGGGGCTCCCTGTCTAATGGGGGAGACAACATGCAAACAGCTATGTCCAAACATGCGATATTTACATGAAAGAAATGACAAAATTGGTTGCAAAAGGCTTCCTGTAGAAAGCAGGATTGATGTAAGCTGGAATCAATCAATTAATAAACATCAATCATAGCAAGCCAGGCACTGTCCTAGGCACTGAGGATACAAGGATGCACGTAAAACAGCCCCTACCTTCAAGGAACTTGTATTTTTTTTTGAACTTGTATTCTTAACAGGGGAGGGCAGAAGTGGGGCCAATGAAGGAAACTCACAGGAAAGCAAATTTGGACTCAACACAAGGAAGTCACTGCCAACTGGAGTTGTCAAATGATGAGAACGGCCACTTTGTGAGGTAGTGAGCTCACCAGCACTAAGAATATTCAAACAAAGGCCAGAGAGCCACCTGTCAGAGATGTTAGAAAGAAGATTCCTACACAGAAAGGCAGGTTGGACTAGATGGCCTCTGAACTGCTTTGTAACTCAGATTGTAGGGCTCCTGCCTCACAGACATAAGATAGCCATGCTAGGCATATATTCACACAAGGCTTTGGAGTTTTTGGGTTATGAGCTTACTGAACAGAAGAAAAATGAGATTTGAAAGTAGTAGCTAGTTGATCCAGCCATGTCTTGGCCATCCTTGGTTTGGAGACCCTCAAAGGACTGGGGCTGATGGAAGGAAGGCCATGGAGATTTCAGTCTAGGTCTGCTCTGGGGTGAGCCTCAAAGTCTAGGTTGGTTCAGGACCATATCAATTGAAGACCTAAGCCCTTCTGGAATGCTTTTGCTTTCCCAATCCTGCTCCAGACCAGAGTGAACTTTCAGGCTTTTCTTGACTCTGCTCCCCTATTTTAAGTGGCCTCCCCCAGATCTGCAGATAGGATACAGCAGTATGTATAGGATCACTTTTGATAGGATCCCCATTCTATTCCAGGAGGGTCCCAAAGAGAGAAGACAAAAGCATCATGACTTTATGTCAAACAAACAGGAAAGGGAATGAAAGCCATAGGAAGGCTAAATAACAGTGACCTTAATCCACCAAGCAGGACAGTGCTCAGGTTAATGAAAGAAATTATGTTGGGGATAAGTTGTGTCCTTCTAAGCACCTGTAGCTTTGGCAGTCACTGTACCATCATCAGGAGTAGATCCAGCAAATGACATTTTTATGCCCCAGGCAACATTTAAAAATTCTATCTACCACAAGCAACATAGGCAACTTGACTTTTCATTAAATAAATACCTATTTGCCATAGACAGTTATATTTTCTGGCATTAAAAATATTCACAGGTATAAAAATTAATACATGCCTCCTTATTCCCTTTTTCCCCTTCCTCCTGCATGGAATCCATGAGGAAGTTGCCTATTTTGCAGCAAAACTCTTTCCATACATTATCTCATACCATGTTGTTTCTATCCCTTTGGGGATGGACAGGATATGTTCTGAGCCTGGAAAATCCAGGGCTACAATCCTCAAAATCTTTCTCTGCCCTGATTAGTCTTTCTTACTAGCTAAGGCCATATACTTAAGCAAGAGGCTCCCCTAAGGAGAATAGAACAGGGACAGTTTCTCTTTTCAGACCCTTGTTAAATCCTTTGCCCAGATTTCTTTCTAGCTTTATGTCCAGTTCTGCACAATGACTGCCCAGTTAGGAGGGGGAAATTCCAGTGGACAGTAGGGTCCTGAATCCTATGTTGTGTAGCCTTCATTGATGCACATAGTATTCCTTTGGGCAGCAAATAGGCTCCAGTGACTAGAGGGCAGTGGTCAGCTCTCTAAAGAATCTTATTTAGGATGAATAGTGTTCCAGGTCCCAGAATTCAGTTCTCTCTTGTCTGTCCAGACTCTTATCTGTCAAGGAGGCCAACCCTACTCCACCTCGGGGCTTGATATAGGAAGGGAGCTTTCCTGGGACCTGCACTCTGAATTAGCATTCCCTGAGAAATTATCTGAGTTCATCTAAATTCTAGACAAATTGGATTACTAGTCATTCTCCTACTTCAACACTCCATCCCTCATCTCTGGGCGTTGGTACAAGCCATTTCCCACTCCTGTAATTCACTCCCACCTCATCTCTTCCTCTCAGAAACCTTCTCTCAAAACTAAACTCCAGTGCATGCCCTCTGCTAAGCTATCCTGGGCTCCTCCCCCACCTCAGTGGTTGGCACTCTCTTCCCGTCCAATTTTCTTTGTCTTTGATTTATTTACAGATTTATTGCATATGATAGAATGTAAGCTTTCTGAGGGCAGGAACCATCTTTTTTCTCATTATCGCCTTGTAGTCTAGCATAGTGCCTTGTATTACTTTAGTATGCTTTCAGAAAATGTTTGTTGAGGGCAGCTAGGTGGCGCAGTAGATAGGTCTCTGGCCTTGGAGTCAGGAGGACCAGAGTTCAAATCCAGCCTCAGACACTTGACACTTACTAGCTGAGTGACCCTGGGCAAGTCACTTCACCCTAATAAGAAAGAAAGAAAGAAAGAAAGAAAGAAAGAAAGAAAGAAAGAAAGAAAGAAAGAAAGAAAGAAAGAAAGAAAGAAAGAAAGAAAGAAAGAAAGAAAGAAAGAAAGAAAGAAAGAAAGAAAGAAAGAAAGAAAGAAAATGTCATCTGGATCCCTACTAACCTGAACATGCAGTCATAAAAGCATATGACTCTCAATACCACAATGATACTAGTGTTGAGCAAATGCTGGAATTCTTCTGTAAATACATACACACACATACATACACACACTGAACCAACCACCACCTCTACAAAAGTAGCTGACAACAATGAGCAGACACACCAAGACACAGGTATATGAATACAGGAATTTTGGCACAGGGGCTCCCACATAGATATATGCACAGAACAAGCTAGTCTTAAGCACAAGGGGGTAAGCAGCCACCCCCATAATATAATTTCAAGAATACCAGAAAACACCCCTTTACTCTGCAAATATTTCTCCCACCAGCTTCCTGATGTTTGGAATTCCACAGTTAGAGATTCATTCTTTTGGCTTGTGACTTGTTAATATGTTTATACAACTAGGAAAGAGGCAGTATAGTGTAGGAAGAAAGCACTAGACTTGGAGTCAGGAATGAACTACATTTTAATTGGATCTCCAATGCTACTTGTGTGACATGTCACAACCTCCCTGAGACTCAGTTTCCTCAACTATAAAATGGGGATTGAAAATAGCTGTGCTATTTGTTTCAAGGGGTTGATCTGAGGATCAAATGAGATAATGCATGTAGAGTGCTTTGCAAACCTCAAAGTGTTACATAAATGTAAGTTGTACAAACGTTATTGTTCTTAAAATCAACAACAAGCTAAGCTCCAGTTGCCTCATGTGTAAAATGAATGGTATGGATAAGGTGATCTTTCCAAGGTCCCTTTCCAGTTCTACCGTCCTACTCTGACCAAAAAGACACAGCCTCTGTTTAAGAAGTAATGTGGATGAAAATGTTTGCTTACAGTGCTCCAAGAAGAAGGAGCCATGACACATCAATATCCATTATAAGGTATATAAAGCATTTTACAAAGCTTGAAGTGCAATATAAATGTCATGTTATTATTAGTTGTTGACATTAAGTATATTATGAATATGCATCAATCAACAAGAATTTAGTAAGTGTTTATTTACTATGTGCCAGGCACCACGCCTGGCATTAGGTATACAAACCCTATGAAAAACAATCCCTGCACTCAAGGAGGTTATATTCCAAGATGCCTGGGAAAGAAAACAAGGATACATACGTATAGGCAGAATAACCATTTTTAAATGATACAAACAAATTAAAAGTAATCAAATATAAAGCAGTTTGAAAGGAATGCCACCAGGAGTCGGGAAAATTAGGAAAGGTTTCCAGTGAGCAGAAGAAAAAAAAAAAAGAAGTAATGTGGAACAGGAGAAAGAACAATGACTGGTGGAGTCAGAAGACTCAAGTTTAAACCATGGCTATGCCACTTGCCTTTCTGATGTTCAGTTTATCTGCAAAATGGGTAGAATAACACCTGCCCTGACTCAAATGTGAAGTATATGGGGGAAAGTATGTGAAAGATCTCTGCCTCTAAAAACTGCCATACAAATGTAAGCTCTTATTGTTATTATGGTTCTCCTATCCTCTCCTGCTTGAGGACAGGTTTGCAAAGAAGGGGGAACTACTGAGGTCCTGGGCCCTAAAGGGAGACAAGGAAGATACACCGTGAAGGGGAAGAAAAGGCCAAAAACTGGGGGAAGCTGGAGCCACCAGCGAAACAAACAGCACACTTTTGGCAAGGACAGGTCAAGTGAGCAGACACATGCATCTATTTGTCACCCGTCAGCATAGGTCACATTAGCCCTCATCCCTAACCTGAAGTCTCTGGTGATCAGCACAAGATGGTCCCAAAAGGCATCCTTACCTGTGACAATGCAAGTGAACCTGGCATCACAGTCTGCAGACACAGCCCTGGACTTGAGGGTGGTCTCAAACAGGGGCTGCGTCTCCTCGGTCAGCTGGGCAATGATGGAGCAGAAGGTGCTCCTGGGAAGGCAAAGAAGTTGTCAGAGCAGCTCCTCCCTCCTCTCCCCAGAAAACATATCACCCTCTGCCTACAAGCTGGCATGTAGAAAGAGCCCCTACAGATTGAATCTCTACTTCTGTGACATTCCTTCCAAACAACACCCTGCAAGCCAGTACCCCTTTGGGAGCACTGGATGCCCTGGAAGCTGACTTGGCTCCTGGTTGGCCATCAGACACTTTCCAAATGGTTATTCTGTACACCATCACCATCTGGCAGATAACCAGGAGGCTCAAGATTTCAATATAAAATCTGGCACAATTGCAGCTGACCTCAAGCCCTTCTACCCACCACACCCCTCCACTGGCGGTCTTCACTTCAACCTCTTGGTGCAGCCTCCAAAGAAGAGCATGGTCTGAAAAGCTCATGCAAAGGAGAGGACAAGACACATACATAAATACTGGGCAGACCTCAGCGGTGCCCAGGGAAAAGGAGAGGTGGAACTCCTCCTTCCCTTCCAACGCTCCATCTCTAGGCCTTTAAAGCTTAACCACCAATCCACAAGAAGTGTAGATGCAGGAGTCCTGGGGCTTACACTTCCCAAACAGAGCAGTCTTTGGACCTCAAGGTATTGTCCCTGGGAAAAAGCCAGGCAAAGCAGCCTCAGGTGGCCCTGGGTTACCTGCTTCACAGACTTCAGGTCCATTTTCTATGCCACACTTAGATACTAAACAGCGTCTCAAGGATATTTGGCCTTCTATTTAGCCCCTGTCTATTGCAATCAAAAGTCCTAGATTTTATGAGGCAGTCTTAATGTAAAAAAACAATAATAATAATAATCCTTTCTCAGACCACGGGTCTTAGGTCGGGGTCTGAAAAAGATGGTCACCATACCTACAAACCACCTTCCAGGAAGGTCACCTGCTGCCCTTCTTAGGACACTGATGCTGCTTACCAACTGTTAGGTGGGCTCCAGACGCCCTTGCCTTTTGGGGGCAATAGACACTAAGCTGGAGGAGGGGCCAAATCTGCCAAGCAGAAAGGCTATAGGGCCCCACATTTGGACGGCAAGCAGAATATTCGTTAGTTCCTCTGGAGTTACAGAATCCAGAAGAGAGATTTATTTTAATTGCTTTTGAGCCTAGGCAGGGCCACAAAGCTGGAGTGGGAATTCAATTCAGCAAATATTTACTAAGCCAGAGGATATGCAAATCCCTTCCAGAGCTTACAAGTCTATGTAATTGCAGATAATTGATTCCCACTGAATACTCTGGGGCTCAGTGCCACCCATAGCAAAACATAAAGAGGGCTTGAAACTCAAGGGAGTATTAGGACTGTAAAAGCAAATGCATGTTGGGAGCTGGGAGTTTCCAGTAAGAGAATTCCTCCCCTGTAAAAGATGAGAGATGTGGTTCCCTGTGGACAGATCTAATGTCTCTCTCTCCAAATTCACAGGCACTTCACCATGCCATGAGTAAGCAAGGGCAGAGATTCCCCTCCTTTTTGCACAACTCCATAGACACACTCGTGTTTCACAGATCACCAAACAAGTGCATTCCCACTCGTGAAGCACACTCACACACCGGTGATATGATCTGCACACACTGTGCCTACCCTCTCCTCCCCCCATAATTTCTTCTCACTAAGTGCAGGGAAGACCATGGAGGAGCAAAAGTAACAGCCTGTGGGAGATGAGTCGCTCAGAGTGGCTTACGCTTGGGGATGAAATTCTTAGGAAGGGGAGACTGGGGGCCTAGGGAAATGTCTGCCTGTTCATATAGCCACCCTCTCTAGTGCAGACGGAGGGATAGTTATGGAGGGAGGCCACAAACAACACCCACACATCCATGTCTTATTGGGAATTTATGAATATTTTCTATTCATTCTCAAGGCCGGTGTAGATTTGGGTTAGGTGCCAGTAAAAAGAAAGGAGGAAGAGACAATGTTCTGGAAGAATCTTTATGGAAAAATCAGGCCTTCTGAACCCAGGTAGGTGTCTTGGCTTAGCTGTTTTCTCCTCATGTGGAACCTTTCCCACAGTGATAGCACAGAGTTAATAATAGATAAGAGAGGCTTTCGTGTTCATAGTCCATGCTTCAGATTCGATGAAACTATGCAGGCCCTGTATCTCAAACTTCTTCCAAATCTCATTCTCAATAAGCCTCAATAATCTTCTCTTCTTCCTCCACAGCCACTTAGATATGGAATGTACCTGGGTATGTATATAACTAGGGTTAGGCAACTTGGGCTTTGTCTAGAACAAATACTGATAACACCCATAGCCTTTCAGCAACACAGAAAAACAGAGATTAGAACTTAGTTAGCAAAAATCATTAGTTCAACTAGGAAGCTAACAGATGGTGCTGGGGTGAGCTTCTCTCTCCACCCACAAACCCACTGCCCTCTTCCACCTACCCTTACTCAAATTTGTGCTACTTTCCCTGGGTACAGTTTCTAGCATTTTCCCCAGGGGCAAAACCCCCTAGTAACAATTCTGGGTGTGATCTATGATGACCCACTATGGCCAGAAAATGCTCACCTCCATAAAACATTTTTATTCACTTCCCCAAACTGCCTAACCACCATAATATGAGAGAAAATCTAACAGGCTAATCCTCTCCTAAATAACTGAAGACACAAGTGGGGTATACTTCTATTGTAAAAAGAGATCTTCATTGGGCAGTTCTATGATCTTATCAAAAGTCCAACCCTAACACTCATACCCTACATTCTATTATAATCACAAAGCAAGCCTGAAATGTCATCTTCTCTCCAAGCCTCAGCCTGGTCTTCTAAGACTAGAACTGTTCAGTGAAGTCTGAGGAAGATTTCTCAGCCATGGATAAGAGGGTTGATAGGGATGGGACCTGTGATTTCATTTGTATAGGGAATTTCCAAGTGAGGTAACTCCCTCTACCAATCCAGGTTGGCATCTTCTCTGCAACTTGGAGAGCTGGCCAAAGCACCTAGAGGTTGAGTGACTTACTCAGAGTCCCGCAGCCAGTGTGGGTCAGGGATAGGATTCAAATCCAGATCCTCCTGGCTTTCAGGCTGGCTCTCTAGTCACTAGACCAAATCCTCTTCTCAAGGTTGGTCAAACAGAAAGAAAGAAAAAAACAGTCATGAAGACTTCAGGATTTCAAAGATAATCAAGAGATAGTACGGTACAATGGACAGAGCAGACTGCAAGGTCAGGAGAAAGATCTCTGTTCAAGGGCCTCTTCTGACATATATCAGCTCTGTGACCCTCGAGGAGTCCCTTAATCTCTCTCAGTGCCCTGAGATGGTTCTCTAAGGTTCCAAAACGCAAAAGAATGGCTGATTAGAAAGGAGTTTCCATGCTCAAAATTCTCTACACCAAGAGAAGTATAGGTCTGAAAAAAATTAAAGTATATTCATAGTACCTAGTAGAGTGATTTACACCCCATAGGTACTTAAATCACTATCTGCTGTTTTGATTGCCTTTGCTAAAAATCTATGGCTCAACCTTCCAAACCTGAGGTCCAGGACTAGATTCTGGTCAGGGGGCAGGGTGGAAGGGTTAGGTTTGGAAGAATAAAAAGTTTAAAATGGAAAAATCTGAAGTAAATCAGCTTGAATGACATATGGAACTCTTCTCGGGTTCTGTATTTTTTTAAGTGGGGGGTGGAGAAAGATCTGAGACATTTTCTTAGACAGAATATTATCACTCAGCTCCTTCAAGCTACTTCCACCCTGTTCCTAAAACTTCATTCCCTCTCCTCCAAAACCACTCAGACATAGGATGAAGGCATTTTCATGTTCCATATTAACACTTATAAGTAAACATCTGGAAAGGTCCTTTATATACAGTGAGTAACTAGGTAAAGATAACAACTCCCTCCCCATTGGCAGTAAGAACAGTTAGGGAAAATCTTTAAACCAAAAAGAAACTGAATCACACATTTTATGGTGATGCTCAAATTCAGGCCTTTTAAGCTGTTACTTATAAGATCACAGATCATGATAATACTAATAGTAATTAGCATTTATCTAGCACTTTAAGGTTTGCAAAATACTTTGACAAATACTATTAATTTTATCCTCACAACCTGGGAGGTAGGCGCTATTAACTATCTCCACTCTACCATTAAGGAAACTGACAGAAGGAGGTTAAGTGACTTTCCCAGGACCCCACAGCTAGAAAGCATCTGAGATCATATTTGAACTCAGGTCTCCCTTAATCTGTGTCAAGTCCTTTACCACCTAGATCAAATGAGAGCTAGGAGAAACTTTTGAGGACATTTAGTTCAATCTCTTCATTTTATGGATAAGGAAACTAAGGGCCAGGGAGGTTAAGGGACTTAAGTGACAAAGATATAAGGGATAAAGCTGGGATTTGAATTCAGGTCTTTCAAAACCACACACTCACTGTGCCATGGTATAGTTTAGGGTATATAGTTTTTTTAAAAAAATCCTTCTTGTGTTAGCTATGAAAAGACTTTCTCTCATTCAGTAAAGGGCCTTTGACCAGCTCTTCATAAATCTACCAATCTGGGACTGGACCAAGGGGTAGGAAGAGGACAAGAACAATTCTCATCCCTGACCATACCAAGCAGCTCAAACAGATCAGGAGAGATCTCAGACTTGGGAGAGAAGACACGAAGCAAAGCGAGGGAACATGAAAAGATAGAGCTAGGAGGACAAGTAGCTCCTTTCCAGCTATAAAAACCTAGAACAATAGGAAAAATAACTGGGCCATTTGGCTGGTGGTCCCATTCTCTTTCCATGGTACCTCTAGAATGAAATCTCCTTTCCCCTTAAAAGACAGATAGACTGCTCCAGCCATCTTAAGGACTCATCTGTGGTCAGCTTGACCCTTGGTCCCTCCACGCGTTTAAGTAAGTCATGCAAGGGCCAAATCTGGACCCTACAAGAAGAGCCAGGCTCATGTGAGTGCCCTAACCCCACCCCATTTCCTTTCTTTCCCTCCCCAAGCATTCCTCCCTCCCCACCCCATGCAGCTTAGTTAGTGTCCAAGCGTTCACCCAGAGGCAACTCCAGTGCATAGGCCCAAGAAAAGGGGTGGTCAGAGAAATTTAATGCAAGATGAGTTTACCTTCCAGAGCTGGGGTGAGAGAACCGGTTGCTTGATAAGCTAAGCAGAAACAGCAAACAGAACCATTAGGCAGAAAAGCATAGAGAGGAGGGGAAGTCAACAATGGTTGAGAGTATTAATCACCCGCCATCTGGCACTGGACAGGCTTTCTATTAAAAGAGTCCAGCTGTCTTAGTCGGCTTGCTTGAGTTAGCAAGCAGCCCCACTGCCCGACAGCAACATCCCTGAAACCAAGAGCTCGTTAGCAGCAGAATCCAGGAAATGAGGTTAGGCAGGAATCCACTTAGGAGACACCACTTTAGAAAGATATATCCCACTGGATCCAGTATCCCCCCCCACCCTCCAGGACTGTAAGGGATGTGTGACAATTCATGTACATCCTTGATATGTAGAGTGGAAGCCCCACTCCATTTGCCCAAGGTCCCTGCTATGGAAGTAGCACCCAACCAGAGACACCCCACCCCAAGGGAGAGCTTTCACACTATTCCCTGAGAACAAGGGGCAGGCTGGCTTTGAGAACACCCATTATATTAACATGTTAAATGGTTAAAGAGGTGGCACAACACAAACCAGCTGGGAGGGTTGAAGAATAGGAAAGAAATGAAAGCAGTTAATCCAGCAGGAACCTCAAGATGCCCTGCTCCATCAACATTAACATTGCATCCAGTGAATCCCTTCTCCCCAGAGATGCTGGCTAGCAGCCAGAATCTTTCCTTCCTAGGGAAGCCAAAGGAGGATTCAGAAATGGTGAGAAGTAGAAATAGGCTAAATCTCTGGGTCTCCCTAAGGGTCAATGATTCACAGAGATCTAAGGAAGAATAAAAGCAAATGATCTCAGATCTTCAACTTCACTGAAAGGATCAAGGCTCCCTGGTCAAAGTTCTCTCAACTACCATTATCTCACCACTTTTGTCCCTGTCCACAACCTTTTGTCCCATCCTCCAATCACAAAGGAAGATGTGTGTCCCACCTGTACCCTATGTCATAGGATCATAGAGTTAGAACCAGAAAAGATTTTCAAAATCGTCTATTCTGACTTCCTCACCTTGCAAATGAGGAAATTGCGTTCCAAAAAGGCTGAGTGACTTCCAAAAAATCCTATCCCTCTTCAGGTCCTAAGGGGGCTTGTTCCCACCCTTGCCTCCTCTCTCTCCAAAACCTTTCATTTCTCTCCTTAAATACCATCCTTTCTGTCCTAAAACATGCATGGGTCTCCTTTTTCTTAAAAAAATATTTTTTTCTTGACCCTGCTGGCTACTCTTCTGTTTCTTTTCTTTACACTTGCAAATTTCTCTCTGAGCAATCTAAACGGGCTGCCTCCAATTTCTCAACACTTGCTTCCTGTGCTTGTCTTCTGTGCCTACCACCAACCAAAACTGCTCTCAGGGAGCTCACAAATGACCTTCTTGATACATTCAGTCACCATGTTTCTCAATCCTCATTCTCTTTGAACTTCCTACTGCATTTGATACCATTGATTATCCCCCTTACCTTACCTCCCAACCCCTCCTTTCCCCCCACACCCTCACTTGGCTTCCCTGATTCTATACTAACCTGGTTTTCCTTAATCCCCTTTAACTTCTTATCTGTTTCTCACTTTCTCCTCCACCCTCTGACTTTCAGGATTCACCAAGGCCCAATCCTCAGTCTTCTCATTTTTTCTGTAAATATTCACTCCCTTCAACAATGATATGCCAACTTGGAAGGTAATTCCCACATCTCATCTCTTATTCAGAGCCTCTCACTCAAGCTCTGGGTCCATATCTCTAGGACAGACCCCCTTAGTTGTTCCATTATTTCCATCAATTCAAGTCTAAAACCAAGTTCATCTTTCTTGCAAAACTAGCTCCTCCTATTGGATGTCCCTATATTGGTTAATTCTCTCACTCATCCTAAGCAGTGTTGTTATTGCTATTCAATTGTATCCAACTCTTTGTGATTCTATTTGAGGTTTTCGGGGCAAAGATGCTGGAGTGGGTTGCCACTTCCTTCTCCAGTTCATTTTACAGATGAGGAAACTGAGGCAAACAGGGTTAAGTGACCTGCCCAGGGTCACACAGCTAGTGAGTGTCTGCGGCCAGATTGGAACTCAGGAAGATGAGTCTTCCTGACTCCAGGCCACTGACTCAATCCACTGTACCACCTAGCTGCCCCTTCTTAAAATTTTAGTCATACTAAAAACCATGAACTCCTCCATGACTCATCCTTCTCCTTCATCACCTACAATCACCTAATCCTACCCAGACATACATCTAAATTTCTTTTTTTAGTCATCCTTTCTCTCCACTTCCAATGACTACTGCCACCACGAGGTCTTCATCTCTTCCTAATAAGACCCATGCAGCAGTGTCTTTACTGTCTCACTCTGGTCTGCCCTCCTCCTAACCCAACCAACATAGATCAGGCTTACCTCTGATAAACAACACTATCATCATGTCATATCTCTGCTCAGAAAACTCGCAGTAACTGTTGTTAACACTGTCTTTTGCCCCTAAACTCCTCTTCCTGAATCTTAAGGACCTCTGTGATTTAATGCCACACTAATCTAACCTTATTTCCCATGACTCTCCAAAATGTACTTATGCTCTAACCAGACAGATCTCCATACCGCCTCATTTTTCTTTTTCTTTCTTTCTTTCTTTCTTTCTTTCTTTCTTTCTTTCTTTCTTTCTTTCTTTCTTTCTTTCTTTCTTCTTTCTTTCTTCTTCTTTCTTCCTTCCTTCCTTTCTTTCTTTCTTTCTTTCTTTCTTTCTTTCTTTCTTTTTTTCTTTCTTTCTTTCTTTCTTTCTTTTCTTTCTTTCTTTCTTTCTTTCTTTCTTTCTTTCTTTCTTTCTTTCTCATTTCTACTTACTCAGATCCTATACAACATTCAAGGCTTAGTTCTTTTGTGTTTTTCACATCTACCATAGTGTTGGACACACAGTGGGTAATCTGTATATATTTCTGTATTGACTGAATGAAAGGGAGATTTACCAGAAAATACGTACCACTCAGGCTTAGTTGCAAGCCAGGGACAGAATATGGAGTCACTCACACGGGTAGTGGCTTCTACTGCCAAAAATAAAAGGGGGAAGGAGGAAGACATCCCCTTGGTATGAGGAAACACCTGAGCTGAGAAAGGCAGGAGTAACCAGGGACTGACATCCACTTAGAGTTTAACTCTTAGCCCTAAGAGTTCAGAAATTCACTCTAAAGAAGCCGTGTGTGCAGGGTGGCCCAGGACATAAGCAGTGGTATCTAGGAGCTCAGGTGATCCCACTGTCCCTAGCCATCTCCATCCTGTCCTGCTTGCTTCCTGCTCCCTTTAGCCCACCTCCCAGTCCCAAGCAATATCGGCTTCATCTGCTCCTCCATCTTTCTTTTTATTAAATGTAATAGGATCATAGGACTGGAAGAGACCCTAGGGCTGATATTGTTAGATTCCCTCATTTTACAGATAAGGAAACTGAGGTCCAGAGCAGTAAATGACCTGCCCTAGATCACGCTGATAAGTAGGGAGTAGAGCCACAACCCAACCCAGGTTCTCTGACTCCAAATGCAGGTTGTCACACTTGGGATTGGAGTGGGTCTGCAGCCCCTTAGGGCACATGGCACAAGGCTATGACTCACAGCTTGGTTTGTCTATCTACACATAGGGAAACCTAATGATGAACTGTGAAGCTGCACATGTCTGTTGGGTTATTAAAATAGAATAGCTAACATTTATATAGTGCTTTAAAGTTTGCAAAGAGCCTTACTATGATGCCTCACAACAGCCCTGTGAGGTAAGTGCCATCATTATCATCATTTTACAGATGAGAAAATCACAACTGAGAGAGATCATGTGACTTGCCCCACAGCTAGTGTCTGAGGCAGAATTCAAACTCACGTCTTCCTGACTCCAAGTCTAGCATGCTAGGCCCTACAGCTCTGTGACAGAGTCCTCTTTGGTTGACTTTTAGGAATATACCCCAAGATAGCTGTGTGACAAGAAACGATGATGGCAGAAAGTGGCAGAGTCTGTGCCCTGGTTGAAGCTTCTGGTTCCCTGTGACTCCTGTACCAGGTGCTTGAATCCAGCTCTGTCTCCCTGGTTCCCAGAGGCAGCCCATCCCCAGAATAGCCAGTGGGAGTAATTCTTCATTAAGCCCCAAGAGTTCCAAGAACGGCCATAAAAGAAAAATGCAGTCGGCTGACAGTGAGGACAGGGAACCAGGCCCAAGCCAGTCTGCCAGGAATGGCCCTAGGACTCTCAGCGTTCTTATAAAGACAATCAACTCAGATGTTCCATTACTTGACAACAGCCGGACCCCTTAGCTAGGACTGGGGACTGCGTCAGCAACTGTCCTCAGATAGACTCTCTTGGGTAACAGCCTTCCCTCCCTTTTCCCTCATCTCCCTCCCTCACAGGCAAAGGAAAAAGCCTCCCACTACAACCCCTTACTCTGCCTCAGTCCATGCAAACTATAGGTCAGACTCTTCCCCAGGTCAGACCCTTCTCAGAGATGGTTTTGAATTTCTCACCTGAATATCACAGATTTGGACCAGTTGCGGAAATGTGAGCTATTTCTTGAGTCTAATATTTGGATTATCTAAACCAGAGATTCTTAATCTCGGGTCCATGGTTAGATTTCAGTGGATCCGTGAACTTGGATGGGAAAGAAATTACATGTCTATTTTCATCAAACTTTGGTTTCCTCTGTAACCCTAGGTATTGTCTTTTATGTATGGGAAAACATTAGTCTGAGAAGGGGTTGGTAGGCTTCACCAGACTGCCAGATGGGATCCATGACACACACACACACACACACACACACACACACACAACTGTTAAGAACTGCTTTATCTAAAGCCTCCCTTTTCACTGAGCCCTGAAAGGTTCCTGATGTTTTCCAGACTGAGCCTTTATATTTTCCATGCCTATCATTGCCCCTCAGGACAACTGGAGGTTAAACAGGCAGGAAACAGAAGCTAGGCAAGAGCCGTGGATGAGAGGCCTAAGCTCAAAAAGCCTCTTTGGAGAGGTGATGGGCTCAAGGTGAAGAATGAGACACATATTTTTGGATATGGCAAATGCAGGAATTTATTTTCCTTGACTGTACATACTATAATGGTTACAAGGATTTTGTTTTTCTATTTTTAATGGAGGTAGGAGGGAGAGAGAAGAAATAAATTATTATTTAAAAATAGTTAAGTGTTTTAAAATATTTTTTAAAAGGAAAAGGCTCCTTAGTGTTCTGAGTGTCCATACTCCATGTTCAGGATATGAAGATCAACTTTGAAAAGTTGTCTTTAACTTACATGAGCTGATGCAAAGTGAAATGTACTGTGTACAAAGTAACAGCAATATTGTAAGAGACCAGCTGTGAATGACTTAGCTATTCTCAGCAATACAATGATCCAAGACAACTCTAAAGGAATTATGATGAAGAATGCTATCCAACCCCAGAGAAAGAACTAATGGTATCTAAATACAGATTGAAGCATGCTTTTTTTTTTACTTTATTTTTCTTGAGGGATTTTTTTTTTGGTCTATGTTTTCTTTCACAACATGACTATTATGGAAATGTTTTGCATAACTACATATGTATAACCTATATCAAATTGCTTGCTTTCTCAATGACAGGAGGGGAAGAGAAGAGAGAGAATTTGGAACTCAAAGTTTTAAAAATGAATGTTAAAATTTGTTTTTACACATAACTGGGGAAAAACAAAACACTAAGCAAAATTTTTAAAAATTCATTTAAAAAAAAGTTGTCTTTAAAGAGTTTCCTCTCCTGGGTGCCAAAGTGGGAGTGAACAAAAGCCCAGTGGAGAGCCACTGTAAATCCCCTTTGGACTGTTCCTGTCCTCCTGCTTCCCACTTCTGTATATTCCAGCTGTTACAGATCCCGTAGCTTATACATGTAGACACTCAACAAATATTTGCTCATTGAATGACTGATGGCTATCTCAGATTTACCAGCAGCTGCTGCCTCAGTCTATTGCCGCTTTGTAAAAGCAGATAGTGCCCTTTGGAGAACTAAGAGAACTAGAGGAAGAAACACTGTCACATTGTAGGAAGAGGTATGGGGGAAGAGAGCAGGAAGCCTAGAGATACCAGCTAGGAAGGTGCAAAGAACTCTTGTCCTACTCCCACAAAAGACATTCTCTCCAGCAATTACACTGAGATTCCTTCTCCTTTCTCTTACCTCCTCAGGTCTCTCTAGTCCAAGTTTGTAACCTGCTGTATATTACAAGTGACTTGGAGTCAGGAAAACCTGAGCAAATCTTTTCTGAGATACTTGCTAGCTGTATGACCCTGGGTAAGTCACTTAACCTATCTGAACCTCAGTTTCCACATCTGTAAAATGGCACCAGGGTTCTTGTGAGGATCAAATGGGGTAAATGATGCGAAGTGCTGTCCAATTCTTAAAACACTATACAAATTGCTAGCTGTTACATCATTGCTGTTATTCTTCTCCTTGTTATTATTACTATTATAAGTAATTATTATTATCATCATTATGCCTCTGTCCCCTTCTCTCACTGGCTCCGACAAAAGCCAGAACATCCAGCCAGAACACAGACAGGTCACCAGTACAAGAATGTCAGGCTCTGGGTTTGCAAAAGAGCCAGCTCTACCAGGGTCTGTAAGGAGCATCCAAATTTGACTCCAGTTTTTCCTGAAAGCCAGTGGGAGGGAGGGGGGAGTTTGTCTTGGCAAGCAGGGCTCAGTCATATCTAACTTTGTCCCAAACACCAACTCTCAACCCTGTACTTTGACATGTGACACCATTCGTCAGATTTTGTACAGAAACTGGTTCCGGTTACATCTGAACTTCTCCAGTGCCAAGGTCAATACTACTGATCCAGGCAAATGGGAAACATAGTGGACTTTTTCTTGAATGTCCTTGTTGCCCAGAACCTGCTCCCTTGTTCTGTTTTCAGGGGACAATATGTCCCAAGAGAGTTTCCTAGTTGTGGTGTTGTCTCCTGTACAATCCACCTGGTCTCCTAGGCCTAAAATGAGCCCAATTCCAGAGCCAAAATAGCTAGTCTAATTCAATGTCCAATCTAATTTCCTTTTGAAAAATCTTCTCTGGAGTTAAGGGAGGGACACATGCCTCTAGATCTGTATGATAATGTGTTTGTGTTGCTGTCTCTCTATTTCTATCCATAGGTTTTTCCACCTGCATATGTAACTCCTGTGTTTCTCAGACTTTGCACTGAGGTGTCTCTCTTGGTGCAGCTGCTGCAGCTAAACAGCCGATAATTTCCCATGAATTGAGTTTGCTCAAAACACTGGGGGATCACTGGGAGAGGGAAGCAGAAAGGCTGGTCAGTAGGACCTCTCTCTGCCCTCCCTTCCACATTAAACAAGACAGATTGTTTCTAACAGAGCAATCAAGCCTCAATCTCCAAAAGGGAGCCCCAGTCCTGGCCACTCGTCACCCCATCAGCCAGGGCCTACTCCTATTTAACTCTGAATTTTGCCTCAGTATCCCAAAGCAGCTCTGGGGGTGTCTCCTGTGCCAGGAAGATTTGTCTTTCCTTGAGAATGTTCCCAGACAAAATAGGAGCAGCATGACCAGGCTGTGGACCGCTCCAGCGCTGTTTAGCCTGACTTAAGGTTCCCCTCAGAAAATCGTACTAAAAAACCCAAGTCCTGTCCCCAGATATTTGGATGCCCATTCCTTTTTTTGATCTGCCTCATTCCCTCCCCCACTACAGGTGCAGTGTCTTCAGCCCTCTCCCCCCTTCCCATAAGTAAAAATTGGCTCTCCAGAAATGACCACTCCTTTAGCCTTACTTCCTGAATGGCAGTAAGGGCTGAGCCCTCTCTCCCCCAGCTCTGGAAGCTTTATCTCTGTGGAATGAAGAGCTTTGACTCTAGGCAAAAGGAATTTAAGGCACCAAGCTCGAAGCCTTCCAGCCCCTCCCCTGAAATCGTTCTAAAGCTAACACCCCACCCCACCGCAACTCTGTTTCATTCTCCCTTTGGATGGACTTATTTTCACTGAGAACTAATGGCCTATACGGGGATCCAGACACTATTTGGGGGCCCCTCAGATTCCTTCTGGGACCCTAGGGGCTGGCTACAACAGATTCTAAGAACCTGGTTCTTCTAGCCCTCGAGGTCCCCAAAATCCTTCAATGGAATGGGATACTACATTGTCTTCCCCCTCGCTCCCACCTCTCCCTTTCCCTCCCTGACTCCCCAGGGCTAAGATCAGATTGGGGGCCCTTTCTGCCTCCTAGCAGGTCACCACAAGCCCCAACTCTGCACCGCCAGGCACCAACACCTTACAAGTTTAGTTACCCAATTCTTTTGCCTCCTCTCTTTCCTTTCCTTTCCCTTTCCCTTGGGGGAAGAGGGATGCCATAGGGTCACCGTCCTCGCCGCCCTCATCCCTCCCCACCCAGCCCCTCCTTTAGCTCCTGTCCCGCCCGGCACCCAAATGCTCTCCAGGAGCAAACTGACCCTTCCCCCTCGTCTCTGCCCCAACAAACCCCGCCCTGCCCTCCAGTGACTGTGGATCCCTCCTGGAGACGGCCTGGGACTGTGAACTGAGGGAACCCCGTCCTGCTCCCCTGCCCCCACTACCCTGCGCCCAAAGGCCTCGGCTCGCACCTGATCTCCGGCCTCAAGCTGAGCAGGTAGTTGCGACTGGTCGGGCTGGGCATCCACACGGGCCCGTCGTCCTCGCCGTCAGCACCCACCCCACCCCGGAGGCCGGAACTCCACACACGGCTCGGAGGCCTGTGGGACCCCATCGCGGCTCCCCGAAGGCTCTGGCTCTAGCTCCGGCTCCAGACGGCTCCCTCCTCTCTGCCCTGCCCTGCCCTGCCCCGCCCTGCCCAGTATCTGCGCCCGCAGCCCCCCTCCAGCCCCTGTCCCACTCCGGGCCAGCCAAGTGACGCTCTTACCCCCTATTTATAGCCCCGTGGGCTCCCGTCACCTGCCGTTGTCCCTCCCCCTCCCGGCCCCAGCCTGGGCCCCGCGTAAAAAAGACCCGAGCTGCCCAGAGAAATCTCAGCTTAGGGATCTGGGGAGCGGGAGGGGGGAGAGGGGCTCCTCTCCGCAACAAACCCAGGGAGACAGATCCTGGAGTGGAGTGCTAGACCACCGCACGCACACACACACACCCTTCCTTATTTCACTATCACTCCACCCTTCGTCAGCTCATTTCCCTATGCTCACCCTTGCCCCATTCTGTACCACCACCACCACCACCACCACCACTCCCCCAGCAAGCCAGGAACAGATTTAGACCCTAAGGCTGCGCCCTTTTCTCCACTTGAAAACCGGTTCAGACTGCCTACTATTTAACCCAGCTGGGCTATTAATTAGTCTCATATTGTCCTGCCTTGTTACTTAGCTAGTTTGTCACTCCCAACTGTGCCAAAAGCTCTTGAGAGAAGGGTCTGAAGTAACGTCCAGAATATCTCCCCTGAAAACCTAGTACAGATTTCTTGAAATAAATGTGGAATGAATGAACCTAGACACCTACCGAATGAGCCGAAAAAGGAGCTATCTCACCTCCCAGAAACCCACTTCATTCATTCATCCATCCATCCATCCATCCATCCAACAGTTATTGAATATATACTATATGTACAACTAGGAGGGTGGGAGGTGGAGAGAAACAGAAACACAAGATACAAAGCTCTCAAGAAGTTCGATATCCAGATATGAAAAATAAGTCACGTAATGCTATGAGGTTTGCAAAATCACTTTTTTCACAGAAATCCTGTAGGATAGGTAGCATATTATTATCCCCATTTTACAGACAAGGAGACTGAGGTTCCCAGAAGTTAAGTGGCTTGCTTATGGCCACACAGCTGCTTAAAGTGTCCAGGCAGCATTTGAACTCAGATCTCCTAAACTTAACAGCTAACATTCTTGCTACTACTACACCAGGCTGCCTTTCAAAGTGAAAGAAAGATGAGTATACAAATAAATATAATACAGGACAATGTCATGTAAATGCTACAAATAAAAGGCTGTAGAAGTTCAGAGGAGGGAGAGATGATTTCTGGCTGGGGGAATCAGGGAAGACAATACAGGAAGTTGGCATTTGAGTTGGGCCTTGAAGGATGGGTAAAATTTCTTCAAACAGAAAGGAGGGGAGGTGGGGTGAAGACATTCCAGGTGAAGGAATAGACAGAATGAGAAAAGAGAGGCAAGTAGGAGGTGAGCTCAAGGACACAAATGGTGGTAGAATTTGGAAGGAATATGGTACTCAAGTTGGGAGTGGTACAATGAACATTTAGGAAGGGGAGTTGGGGACAGACTGTGGAGAGCCTTTGCTTGCCAGGTGATGTAGTTTGGACTTTATCCTGTAGGCAAGGGAAAGCTGTTGAGGATTTTTGAAAAAGGAGCAGGGATATAAGAGCAAAAAAGTAACTTAAATTCTAAAAACTGTGACTTAAAATTCTGTAGTGGTAAATATTCTGTAATATTATTAGACATTTTAAGCCCTTTTATTTACTAAATAAAATTTTTTAAAAACCTAACCTCTCCCCAAAAAGACTCCAAAACAGTACTTTAGGAAGAGTAATCTGGTGATAATTTGTAGGATAGATTAGAATAGAAAAAGTCTAGAAGCAAAGAGGACCAGTTAAGAAGCTATTACAATAGTCCAAGAATGAATGAATGAGCATTTATTAAGCACTTACAATGTACAAAGCACTTTTCTAAGGACAGAGAAAACAGTCCCGGCTCTCAAAGAACTCACAGATAGAAAGGCCCAGTGGTCCTTAGGATACAATGGCAAATTATATGGTAATGCATCTTCTTTAGTGTGATTTCCAGTGATAAAGTCTATCTGTTCTGATGTTAAACCATATGACAGCGCCAAGAATTTTAAACAGAGAATTGTCTTTTCTGGCTCTTCCATAGCTTTGGAGGCAGAGGTTCCTCAGAAGCACTCACCAGGTCATATCTGGAACAGAACTGCTTCCCAGAAATAATGTTTTCCAGACCTAATCTGTACGCAAGAACAGTGGTCTGGAGAGCCGCTGCTATGCCTAAGGCTTCCTGCCTAACGGTGGTAGTTGGTCTGAGTAGCTGGTAGTGGTGAGGAAAAGTCTTTTATTCCCTGGGATTTCTCCCCTCACTGATGGCTACAGGACCCAGCCTGGAAACAGAGCTGGGAATCTAGATGGGAGGGCACTGCTATTCCCAGGGACTCTTGGGCTCAGGAACCTGGATATTTCTCTGGAGAGTATAAGTGGAGGTCATAGTGGTCAAAGTGATGCAGGGAATTAGGAAGTAGGACTAGGGCCAGCTAGGTGAGACAGTAGATAGAGCACAGGTCCTGGAGTCAGGAAGACTTGAGTTCAAATTTAGCTGGGTGACCCTGGGCTTAATCTTAATTGCCCTCCCCCCCAAAAAATAAATTCTAGGACTAGAATTTGGGAGAGAGGTCAAGGTTGAAGACATATCTGGGGGTCATTGACACAATTAATAGCTGAAAGTTCTTTAAGATTAAAGCACTTAAATCTTCATTAGAGATCTGAACTTAGAGTCAGGAAGACCTGAGTTTGAATTTGATCTCTCTGATGACTGTGTGACCCTAGAGAAGTCACTTAACCTCAGTTTCCTCATCTTATTTCTCATTTCTGCCATTTTGATGGGGATAATAATAGCATCTATCTCCCAGGGTTATTGTGAGGATAAAAAAAAGATAATATTTGTAAAGCAGTTAGCACAGTGCCCAGCACATAGTAGGTGTTATATAAATATAGCTAATATTGTTAATAGGGAGAGAGTAGAGGAAAGTAGCAGAACAGAAACTAGCCAGAAATGAGACAAAAGGATAGGAAAATAACCCCGAGAATGTAGTGGTACATAAGCCAAGGAGAAAGTTTCAGGAATCAGTATTCAACAGTGCCAAATTCAGCAGGTCAGAGGAGTGAGGATTAAAGAAAGCCATTGGATTTGGCGAGGCACAGTCGAACTCGGAAAGAGCTTCAGTAGGGTAGATAGGAATGGATTCCAGACTGCTGAGGTTTGAGAAGGTAGCCAGTGGAAAGCTGGGAAGGCAGTAAGTAGAAATAATCAGCAACAATGAGCACCTTGAGAGCAGGGACTCTCTGTTGCCTTTCTTTCTATCTCCAGCAATCAGCGCTGTGCCTAGCACATGATAACTACCTAAATGCTAGTTGATTGACTGATTGATGGTGGAGAAGTGTGGCTATGAAAAGGAGGTAAATAAGATAGTAGTTAGAGGACATCTAGGGAGAACAATGGATAGAATGCCTGGCCTCAAATCTGGCCTCAGACTCTTACTAACTGTGTGACTTTGGACAAGTCACTTAATCCTGTTTGCCTCAGTTTCCCCATCTGTAAAATGAGCTGGAGGAGGAAATGACAAACCACTCCATTATCTGAAACAAGAAAATCTCAAATGGAGTCATGAAGAGTCAGACCCCACTGAACAAAGTTAAAGGTTAGGGCAGGGTCTAATGGAGTTTGCATTTTATTTCTAGAGGAGACCTGAGCAGATTCATAAATATAAGGAAGAACCTAAGAGGGAAAGGATTACTAAAAGGAAAAGGAGTAAGCTCCCAGAGGAAAGAGGAGGGCTGGCTTTAAGACACAAGTAGAAGGGTCAGTCTTGGAAATACTGGGAGACATTTCCTCTGAGACAGGAGGAGAGGAGAGAGGAAGAGACAAACATGTGCTGAGGTGGATAGGGCCGAAGAGACTGTTCCAAGGCCTCAAATTTCTCAGTAAAGCAAATCAAGAGTGAAGGAGAAGCAGCTTGAGGAGAGCTGAGAAGGTTTGGAATCACTATCCATCCTAGAAAATGTGCTGGGGAATCATTAAGGGTTGAATAATAGGACAGTGAAGCAGCAGTTAAGTGCCCAGGTGAAATTAGATGACATGAATTGGTAGGAGACTAAATTCTGTAATGTTCTCCAGTAATGCTTTTTAACTGGGAAACAGAAACAGGGAAAACAGATGAGGTTAGTCAGATCAAAGAAATTCAACCGAGTAAGTATTTGTTCTGTGCCTACTACATGCAGAGCATTGGTCTCTAGGCACTAGAGAGACAAAGGGGGGAAAAAAGGAGCTTACATTATAGATTTAGAGCTGGAAAGACCCTTAGCTGTTCATTTTACAAATGAGGAAACAGAACTAGAGGGTTGTGACTTATTCAAGACCACACAGGCAGGTAGCAAAAGTGGAAAAGGCAGAATTTGAAATTATATCCTGAAAAACTTTCTGACAAAATACAGTACGCACTCCTACTAAAAACACTGGAGAGCATCAGAATAAATGGAGCTTTCCTTAAAATGATAAGTTTATCTAAAGTGTATCTAAATTTAGATAAGTGTATCTAAAACCATCAGCAAGCATTATCTGTAATGGGGATACTAGCACAATAACGGGTGAAACAAGGATGCCTGTTATCCCCTCTATTATTCAATATTGTGCTAGAAATGTTAGCTTTAACAATAAGAGAAGAAAAAGAAATTGAAGTAATTAGAATAGGCAATGAGGAAACAAAGCTATCTCTCTTTGTAGATGATATGGTGGTATACTTAGATAATCCTAGAGAATCAACTAAAAAACTACTTGAAATGATTAACTTTAGCCAAGTTGCAAGACAGAAAATAAACTCACATACATCATCAGCATTTCTATTATATTACCAACAAAGCCCAGCAGCAAGAGATAGAAAGGGAAATTCCATTTAAAATAACTATAGACAACATAAAATATTTGGGAGTCTACTTGCCAAGACAAACCCAGGAAGTATATGAACACAGTTACAAAACACTTTTCACACAAATAGAGTCAGATCTAAATAATTGGAAAAATATCAGTTGCTCATGGGTAGGCTG